TACTACACATACCATTGGGCGGCCAATTCAAATTCAAAATACATACTCGTACATATAAATATATACAAGCCAAGAAACGAATCTTATTGTTGCTCGCAGTATGAAAAACAAACTACATTTTGCATGGTTTTTTCACTTTGCTTCACATCCGCTTAGCGTGACTTCCTCAACTCTCATTCTCATACAACTACTTCCTGAGCTCACATTTCGTACATTTCTAATGTTATTCGAGTGATTATAATTTTCGATAGGCGAGCTGGTATGCAAATGAAGTGGATAAATGTACCGTTAGTGTGAAAGTATGCAAATAAATATAACCAGTTGGCACGCAATTTGATGTAATTACCCAAGGAGCAACACTTGTTGGGGCTTCGGGGATTTTTTGTGCAATGCGGGCGCGTGGTGTGTATGGAAAAATAGTAATAAAGAAGCAATCATAATCACGATACGATTTGTTGAGTGTAATTAATTAGTTTTTATTCGTACAAATTTATGGAGATTCTTTAAGGAAAATTGTATATACAAATAATTTTTATATTCGTTCATTTTCTTCTATTTATAAACTGTGGCACCTCCAGCTCCCCGCTACGACCTTTCCAGAAGGAAAGTAGTACTTTACCGCCTCTAAAGTCATTTCTTTTTGTATATTATGATAGGGAGTAACTCCTGACCTTCTCCTCATACTCAATATAGTGATTGGAACCTCATATATTTTTGCTGAAGCTACATGTCAGTACAACATTTGACTCACAACTCCTGTCTACTTGGTCTGTGGCTGGACTTTTATAGAGGTACAACTAGCTTTTATTGCTGTTTTAGACATTAATTGGTTTGTATATTTATTTTGTTTTATATTCTTATTACGACGATCAACAGATCAGCTGATCTGCTGCGTAGTGATATTCATGTGGTAATGTGATGGAATAAGTTCTAGATATACGACAAGTTGTTGTTAGCTTTGTCCGTTATCTTACACTTTAATTGGTTTTTTGTAGCTGTTACGGCGATATGATGATCTGCTGATCTGATGCGATGTGTTATTGTTGTGGTGATGCATCGATGTGATATGATATGTTCATGTGATACAATTGTATGTTAAGCTTTGTCCTTTTTTTTACACACGAATTGGCTTGTAAACCATCTTTTTTTATTATAGTTGTTACGACGATATGTTGATCTGCTGATCTGATGCGATGTGATATTGATATGGTGATGTGATGCGATAAGTTCTAGATATACGACAAGTTGTTGTAGGCTTTGTCTGATGTCTTACACTTTAATTGGTTTTCATATTTGTTTTGTTTAATGTTGCTGTTATGACGATATGGTGATCTGCTGGACTGATGCGATGTGATATTGATGTGGTGATGCATAGATGTGATATGATATGTTCGTATGACACAGTAGGTTTTTTAGCTTTGTCCGTTTTTTAAACATGAATTGGTTTGTACTCCTGCTTTATTTAATATGGTTGTTACCACGATATGTTGATCTGCTGATTTGATGCGATGTGATATGGATGTGGTGATGCATCGAAGATAACTTCATAATGCCTCTATCATGCCATATTTTCACCAGTGGAATCATTCGTCATGGACAAGAAAATATTAACCACTTGTTGGGAGCTCCAGACTATAAGATGGATGTGTGAGAACCTCGCAACCAAGCTCTTTGAACTTCTGGCGAGTCACTTTGGATGTGTGTTTTCTGTGGTCGTCACTCCTTGCTATCTTTCAACTACCAGCGTTTTCTTTTAACGTCGCTGTAAGTTATCCACTTTCATTACCAGTCACCTGAGTCGTTTGTTTTACGATTCAGCAGCGATGTGCAGTTGGAAATGCGGTCCTTGAGTTTTTTCTCGGTCAAATGGTACCAAACTGTTTTTTGTGCAATGTTTAGCTTCTGGGCAATCGAAAAAGTGCACACGTGACGGTGTGACTCGAAGATTTCTTATTTTTTTTTTTACTTTCAACGTGAAAAACATTCGGATATCTTATATTTGATTACACCTGAATCCAGTCGGTCTTACTTGTTCATTTATAATAAAAGTTCATCCCAAAAACTACTCATCAATCGCAATCAAAATTGTTTTCTTCGTAAGCTAACAAACACATTCATAAAGTTTCACAACTAGCTAACTGCTCGAAATTTGGAGCATGAAATTTTAGCCATTCAAACTTCAAGTGCAAAACCCCGTTTGCTTAATGAACTCGTATTTTTCATCCCGAAGTACCGAAGTGTATACAACGCACTACAAGAATCGGTTGGTAGAAAATTTAACGGCAATTTTTTCCAAACGAACTTTCTGGTGCTTAAAATGTTAACAATCTGCGATTCATTTAGTCGTTACATAAAATTGTAAAAGTATTTTAATTTTTTTATTTTTATTTTATTTATTTTTTTTTTTTCAATTCGCTTGAAACTTTTGTCGAACGCAACTCATCAAGTTCGATTCAACTTTTCAACAGCACGAACGAGGAAGCTTAATTTTTATTTTTTAGTTTTATCACTTTCAAACGAAATCAATAAATTTTTTAAATACAATTACTTTCTGGAAAGTAAAGATGCAAAAGGATAAATATATATATATATAAATACCTTAACTCCACTCAGCTTGATTTTTTCATAGTTCTTATTTATTTTCAAACAGTTTGAAATATGAACACATCAATAGCACACGCTTGGATAATACGCTGAATTTAGCTAAAGGCAATATTAAAAGTGCAAAGTAGATACTTGGAATTCAACAGTTTCAGAAACGTGCTTCTTAAACAAAATATTGAAAAAGGCATCTCAGATGTTATATTTCGGACGAAATGTTTTTCTCTTCCAAAATATGCTCATTTCCTTCATTATTATTATTCTTCAATGGCGTTGGCATCACTCCCGTGCCATTCATTCCTGCTCTTCGTTGTTTGGCGCCAGTTGGAATTACCAAGTTCAGCCAGGTCCTCAGTTATCTGATCTCTCCAACATACTGAATATCTTCTTCTACTTCCACCAGCGGGTATTGCATCGAAAAATTTCCGCGTTAGATTTTAAGGCTGAAATTATTATTGGTATTAATGCTGGTCCCTAGATAGATGAAATTATATACGACTGCCAACCGTGACGTGGGAGCCAAGTCGCAAATGCAATGGCTGTTTGTTTGACGATAGGAGATATTTCGTTTTGTGCTTGTGCTTAAAGCATAACTATTGGCGCGATTGTTGAGGTCTATGGTATCAATATCATCGGCATACGCCAAAAGAAGTACACTCTTGTAAGAGACTGTACCTTCTCTATTCAGCTCTGCAGTTCTTACTATTCTCTCCAGCATCAAATTGAAGAAATTACACGATAAAAGTCACCCGATCTGAACGCCTAGGAGAAGTCAATCCCAATTCTGACTGCTCAGCTGACGATAAGGCAGCTCCTATTCGTGCTGAGTAAGGCTCTTTCCATGGAACTTTTTCAAATGGCGCTGGTGGATTTACCAGATTTAAAGTCACACTTTAAGGTCAAATCAGTTTTTTGGCGGTGAGCTTTGATCTTTCTTACAATACGCTCGACAGGACCTTACATGCGATATTTAAGAAGTTAAGCCCACGTTTATTGGCACAAAGAGTGGGGTGGGGTGAGAGCTGATGAATGCACCTTATCAGTTGTTCACCGCCATGTCTGAATAACTCTACCGGTGGTCCATTAGCAACAGCCGTTTTGTTGTTCCTTAAACGAGCAATCACTATTTGAACCTCTTCATAGTCGGATAATGGAATGTCTCGTTGGCGTCTCCTTAGGTTCCTCTTTCATAGCCTTTCAGCCAGCTGGAAAAATGTTTCCTCCTTACACCTGGTATGCTCTAGACATCAGTCACATCATATCACTTTCTATGAGCTACAATTGCTTACTACGGTTGTGAAACCTTCTGTAAGCCCCCGTATCTTTTCGTAGAATTTTTGAGCATCACCCTTGTCGGAAAACATCTCAAGCTCTTCATACTCACGCATTTCGTCCTCTTTATTTTATTGTCTACAAATTCGTTCTGCTTGTCTCTTCAGCTCTCAGTATCTTTCCCACCCGTACGTGTTGTGATCGGCGACAAAGTTGCGACAGTTTTATCCCCACTGCACTTCGACATTGCACATCGGACCGAATCTTTTTTCTGGCACTGCCAAAAACCACCTGTTTCCGTAGCGGCGGTGTATAGTGAGTTTGAGATACTGTTCTTCAGTTCACTTATATCGAGTTGCTGATGAGTGCTCTCAGAAAATAGGAATGAAAGTCGACGTAGCATCTTTCTTGTGTTTATTGACGGACGTTCTTTGATACACCGAGGCGGGTGCCTATCTTCCCTGCGACAAGATATTGTTCCGAGTCGTTGTTAGGACCTCGGATTATACGCACACATCTAGAACACTGGGGGCATGTCGTTCGTTTATCACAATATGATCAACTTATTCGATCTGGCGGCTGGAATGTGTTACGGCAGACAACCATATTTCCATAGGCGATGTCAGTCAACCTCAACCATGGAAGCTAGAAAATTCAGCCTGCTGTGACTGTTGTGTGAAAAATACCTTCTTCGTCGACCCTGGCGCTAAATTCGCCAAACGTAATTTTTACATCTTGACCGCAGTAGTAAAGGTCTCAAGGACCTACTCCCTCCCGTTTTTGTCCCGTCCATCGCACTTTTTGGACGGTGCTGATGTCAGCCAGCTGGACATCAACCAGCTGGGCAGCGGCACCTTCTCAATTAAGGAACCTGGCATTCCACAAGGGTTGTTCACATTCCCATGATGCGCGACGTAAGAGTAGAAGCTCGACTACACCCCATTACACTCTTTAGTTCTCTGAATAATTTATTTCTTGTAACTTAAAAGCTTATTCGGTACACACAAACAATCCTGTCAGTTTCCTTATATTATATTAGTATAGATAATAGCCGAAGAGCCATATTTTAAGCTGTGAAAATCCTTTACTGTTAATAAAGTATTAATAATTTGAAATTCTACTTTTAGCGATGCATAAAAGCGTAATTAAAAAATAATGTACAAACAACCAAGAAGAGTCAATATTTACTTATACGAGTATAAGCAGTCTCAGTGCTAAATTCAACACGAGTTTCGAGTGTCTAAATGAGCAAATCCGTTTAAGGCATTTGCAATATGAAATATTCATAAAGGCAATTGAAAAACGTGCAACTACGCAAGAGCGTACATACATACATATTTATATGATAAGGATGCCGAAAACCCAATGGAAGTACACGTACATATGCGAACGAAAGCCTGAGTGATGCCGAGCAGTGCGTGACTGTCGCCCAAAAAAAAAAACACCAGATCCAATAGAAATAGAAGAAGAACCTACACCACCGTTAAACACGCCAATGTCAACAGCGCGCCAACAAGTGCGCCAACACAGCCAGCATGTCGTCAGCACGTCATTAAAAACGCAACATCAACAACCACAACAGCGACAACAGCCGACAACCGGAAACAGAGCTTAACAGCCCAATAGCAACTGAGCGATCAACCGGCAATAAATTTAAATAATGCAAGTAACTTTCTAATGCATTCAACGCTGTTTTGAGTGAGCCGAAAGCGTCGCAAAAACTGACAAAGCCACTTAAATAAGTGACGTCGAACACACATACGCGCACACACACATTCACCAAGTTCACAAGCAAACCTCCATCTCCTCCTCCTCCTAACCATCTACACACACACACAGCCATATATACATAGCTACCTACGTAGAACTTAGAATATTCAGGCTAGTGAAAGAATTGAGGGAAGAAAAAGTAAAAAAAAATGTTCGATACAAAATGGTTGCCTGCCGCCTGTGGCAGTTTGGCGCCCGCTCTCATACCGCCCGCACACATACTGGTGTTGGCCTACTTTTGGGAGAATTATTCACGTTATGTTGATAAACATTTTTGCACTTGCTCCTGCTGGGACACGATATTCAAGGGTCCCTACGAATCGGGTATTGCCTCGTATAAGCATCTCTACTTCAATGCCACACAAAATTCATTCAAAATGTGGCTGCTCACTGTATTCGCTGTTATTGCGCTTTATGAATGCATTAAACAGTTGATTGCGTTGATATTGCAACAACGGTGTCGCTACTCGATGTTGTTGCTCTTCTCACTGTCGATATTTTCACACTACTATGCCTGGTGGGCGTACATAAATTACTACAACGATGACTATTATCAACAATGGAACCATCAGCTCTTCTTTACGGTAAGTATGCACACACACACATATATACATATGTATGTACATATTATATAATGCGTGTACTACAGAATATTTATGAATTTGTAAAAGAGTTTATTGATGCAAGTAATAAGGATCCCAGTGGGGCTGAACTAATTAGAATGCCTAAATACACTTTAAACTCGGCATGAGGTGCTCAATATTAAGCGTACCAAGAGGCTTCGTAGCGAAGCGTTGTTAAATTCTGCTTTAATTGCGGTTAAGCGATAGCTACCAACAGGATTCAATAATTTATTGCCGAATTAAAGGTAAACGTCGGTTGTTTCAGCTTCTCACAGCTTAGCGCCAATTGGAGGCCTTAAGTAAAACCAGATCTCTTTCCACTTAATATGTCCAACAAAATGAGGATTTTTCTCTTCTTCTGCTTTCTCAAATACCTTGAATGCTGGAGTAGTCTCGTCTATGCGGCCTATATGACCTAGCCACGATAGCCACTGACTCTCCACTCGTTGTACATCTCATCATTTCATCATTAGGCGGATTCGTGTAGTGGACAAATGCCCATAGGATAGGATAGTTCTATTATTCTTTTATGGTGCTAGATGGAGGTTCATTTTGTGGCGATCTAAAGTAGTAAGCATATAAAACATCTAGGTCTTTCGCGAAGCTCAAAGCTCTAGCTCTTTGAACTGCCAAGCTCCAAGATATCTAAGACGAGTTCTAGCTAAAGCCGGACGGAAACAGTGGAGATATTCCAACGTATCGCTCATGCCTTCCTCCCAGCACTTCCTACAAGTATCACTGCTACCAATGCCCATTCTATCCAGCGGCTAATGCACAATTGTCCAGCAAAGATATATAACTCAATTTCAAAAATTTTCTCTCGGAAACACCGAGTCCCGTTTCATCGGATGTCGTTATCGTATGATTTTTCCTAATCCTACATAGAAGACTATGTACTATGTATATTCAGTCCATAGTAGCTTGTTTGCATGATCTTGTATCCTCTAGTTCTGCCGCTTTTACTTGTTTCTCCACCAAAAAGGTGGAGAAGTTGCACGATAGGGAGTAAGTAACCAGTCTCTTGCTACCGTACGCCTCGGAGCAGTCTTTCCCAATTTTTAGAAGCATTTGACGCCGTTTAATCGGCAATTACTCTTTCGCTCTACAAAATAGGCATTCAAGAATTATGAGCTCTTCGCCACCATATTTAAATATCTCCTAAGCAAGAATACGCAGGGGCTAAATCTGTAGAATATGTAGGATAAGGGAAAAGTACGTGCATATCCTTAATGGCACAGCATTTTATTTTCGCCAAATGCGATCGTTTCAACTTCAAATAAATAACGAATCTGTATAAAAAAATCTCGGAATAAACTTCGCCTTTTCAATGGATGTGAATGACACCTCGTGTAAAAGGTCCACCTTGGCGTTATTTGGTTCAGGTTCACTCGAGGCTGTTCTGATTTTTCTTTGGTATTTAGTGTAGTGTGGTGGATTCATGTTTCACACTTATGATAGTTTGAGCAATCTCAGCACGCTTCACCCGGATAAGTTCTTCATGTCCAAATTATCATATATAAAATGTGATGTAGCCGCAGCCACCTTACCCATTTTGTCCAATGTCATTCCTTGAATTTCATCGACGATTTCTGGCGTGAACACCACTATTAATAAGCTAAACAGCTTTCTAAATTGCAAATGCATTTGGTATTAATAACAACTTTGATTTTAAGCATCGTTCATCTACAACCGACCTGCAAAAGAACGCCCAGCTGGTGTATATTCAACCGGCAGCTTCTATTGACCTTTTGCCCTTGAAATTTATTACTTTGTATCACAATTTCCTGTACTGCAGTTGTGCTGACAATGAAATGCTATCAGAGCCCAACAATCTCCGCATCATGGTATTATCTTAGAACAAACAAGATTTAAATCGCAGCTTTTTACCTTACTTTCAATGACTTAACAATTTTTAGCGAGCTATAAATGGCTCATTAATCACATTTTAACAAACCACAAGGTAACTAACGCCATTCTTTGTAAATTACCTAAGAAGTGTACGTATAAATATATTTATTTATAGGGTTATCCATTTCGTAGTTTCAAAAGTACAGGGCTCAAAAGTCAAGCATTTATGAAAATGGATCGCTTAACAACCACATCACGCTTTAAAATTATTAAAACCTTCTACAAAAGTGGTAAATAAAGCGTGGCCACGTTTCGCTTAACTTAAGAGGACATAAAGGCGCACATAATCGTCCGACTTGTAAAAAAATTTGCTCAAATTTTAAAGAAACTTGAAATATTGGATCCGTTACAGATAAGGCTTGTGCAATCTCGTTTTGCTCGTTCCACCTCAAATGTCGCCACTGTGAGTAAAGGCGTAGCGGAAGACCCGAATGTGTCTATTTCTCGACGTTCTCAATAGCTTGGACTTTCTTACGGCATATTATGGCATATTTCGCACGCGGAATTTCATATAAAACCATATAAAGCCCAGCTCACATAACAACTGAAGCCAATTGACCATTCACAACGCCGTTGGGTGCTTGAACAACAGGCGAACGGCAATTCTTCAGCACGCAGGGGATACGTAAATTTGCAAAATTGTCGAATTTTGGGCTCCGAGAATACTCAAATAACTTGAAAGAGACCTTTGTGGACCCCAAAACAACTTACTGTCTGGTGCAGATGTTTTTCGACCTTACTTCTTTAAAAACGAAATCCGCGAGATTGTCATTGTCGAATTCGGAGTCTTATGGTCGTATGATAACCGAAGAAGAAGAACAAGACTTGGATGATATGTGGTTTCAACATGATGTGGTTTCAACATGATGTGGTTTCAACATGATGTGGTTTCAACATGATGTGGTTTCAACATGATGTGGTTTCAACATGATGATACCACAACTATAGCGAGTACGGCTTTATTGTGAGTGAAATTACCCGGCCGCAGATTCTCTCGCCTTGGGAATGTCAATTAGCTAGCGAGATCGTGATATTCGACACCTTTGGACTTTTTCTTGTGAGTCTACGCGCAAGACCGTGCTTATGCGGACTAACTTTTGCCCCCTGAGCTCTTCGCTGAGATACCGTCCAATATGAGATACTGTCCAATATGAGCCAAAAAGTGATCGATGTTTTCAAAAATTCCCGAGGTGGGCATTTGATATGGGGTTTTACACAGAATGTCAAGACTCAAGCCTTTTAATAAGAAAGTAACTTCATAAAAAAAACATTTAAATGTATATTATTTACGTTTATTTTCAAATCCGCGAAATGGACAATGCTGTACGTACAAAATCAGCAAGTGTAAAGTCGCTGATTCAGTAGAAATTGATTATTAATATTTCATACATAATGATTTTATTAATTTTGATGTTGTGTCACAACGGCGGCAAGTATACGAGCATATATACATATAAATTTCTACGCTAAAAGCCATGTACTGATGTTTAGCTCTTCAGTTTAACCAATGCGATATTGAGAAGTTAATTATAGAACTTTTCAGGGCAGCCTATGCCCATGCTTTGTAGGTAATTAATTAAATTTCATAAAATATATAGAGCCAAATAAAAACAAGAATTTTAATTAAGCGACAAAATATGAATAGTAGAGACTATATTTTATATACAGAAGGGCCTAAAGAATATTTACTGTACTTATTTATTATATACATACTTATATTATTATATAAAATGTTATTTTACTTTTTTGTGAGGTCTGTGAAGTAACAAACAACGAAAAAAAATTTGCTTTTGAAGCGACTTAATGAAAGGCTTTTGAGTAGGTTCTCTTTAGGATGCTTTGAAAATATTTCATCATTATTCGCTTACAATATAATAAAGAGTGCCCTAAATCCATTCTAAAGATAGTGGAAGTTCGATACAAGAGAATGTGATATAAGAGCTCATACCCCCTTGTAAGTTAATGGGGTGTAGTCAAGCTTCTGAGTATGCAGTCACAGTGATTATACTCAATTCCTACTCTTACGACCACCTCAAGCATCCTTGAGCAACCCTTGTGCGCTAACAAGCTCATGTGAAGCTTTTGATCACGGGGCTAAAAGAGAGGAAGCTTCGGTGGAGCCACCCTGACATATTCAGTTTATCACCAAAGATGCGGCTGGAGCGGGCGTCAGTCTTGCAGAAAGCGGCTCGCTTTACAAAAGTGTGCTAAGCTTAAACCTACTCGCCTAGCAAGGTTGTGTCTTGGGTTTGAGAGCCACCCCCTCCAGCTCTAATACAAAAGGCTGAAAGCCAGTGCCTGTAGTGTACAAAAATTTTACTAAAAAATACGGCAATTAAGGGAAGGTTTCAAGACCGGAGCAATTTTTTGCCGTACCCAGAGAGGTGATGTATAGACTGATGACCAGAGTTTGGAAGCGCCACAGTCTATGCCAATTACCGCGAGAAAAGCCTCCTCAATATGGGTTTAGACCTAGCGAGCCAACCGTTCACCATGCGCCAAATCTTGGAAAAGGCCTGTGAAAAGAGGACACACACACCCGATGAGTTGGACGAGACATACAGTGATATTGTTTAGCGTATTAAGAGGCAGCAGCTTCGATGGTTAGGTCGTGTAGTCCGAATGAACCGTTGTGAAAGTTTTCGATGCAGTACCCCTACAAAATTGCAAAATGGTGTTACACCAATAACAAAGAAGAAAACGAAGTCCCAAAAAAATTTTTTGTAAAGGTTTTGTAGCGGCTTTTTATTAAACACATACACACAGCGCTTTGATTGTATTTTAAGAATTCGCTATGTATTTAAAAAATATTTCTTTCCTATAGAAGATCTTCTAGAGGACATACACAAAAAGATGTCTGGCGGTTAGGCAGTTATCTCTGGTCCAAATTATATGAAATAAAAATCCAAAACTTTTATTTTTAGTATAAATGAATACTGGAAATGATGGATAGAATAGTCAAAATAAAATATTCGGTCGGCATAATCGCCCAGCAAAGGTGGCAATTTGAGCAGCAATGCATCGCTTTCACACCACGTTTACTCTAGTGACTTAAGCGCATCCTCAGAGATGCCGTGATGTCATACAGTGCTGTGGAGCAGAATATTGAAAAAGACTCGAATGAGTCCATCCGCCATCGGGCGAAAAAATTGGTGCTGTGCCCATTCATTTTAGGGAAGATTTTGTGACAAAATCTTTGTTTGCACGGTAACAAACCCCAACTCATAAAGAATTAAAACCGTAAATGTTTCCAAAACAAGAAAATTTTATTCAACGATGAGGCTCACTTTCGGTCATGGTCGAGACGCAGTTAAATACTCAAAAAGTCATGTGTGATGTGTTCTATGGGCAGAAGCGATCATTGATACTTATTTCTTCAGAAATGAAGCCAGCCGCAATGTTATAGTTCTTTCCCTATTGTATCATATACCAAAGTATAATATATTAATTATAAAGCCAGCCAGTCTCTCATGATGTGCTCTATGGTTTTTGAAAAAAAAAAAATTTAATTTTTTATATCATTATTTTTTAAAATTAAAGCTTTTATAAAACAAATATTTTACGCTGAAATAGCAGCACTTTTATGTAATTCATTTAAACTATCCCCTGTATGTCCCTGTTTCTTTTGATTTATACAAAACTTTTCATTGGTAAATGTAATGATTAATGCTTTTTAGTAAATCGTAAATATTTTCGATTGCACCTATACAAAGTTTTTATGTTTCTTTCCACCTACTTATCCGCAAAAGAGCAACTTTTCTTATGCCAAAGTTGTACTTTGACAAACTTTACCGAAAACTATGCAACTTAGCTTACGAACTTACAAAGTAGGCATGATGACGTTGTGAAGGGTAAGCATGTTGCAAAGTTGCATTACCTAATAGAGCCAGATTGTGGCAGTGGCATATTATATAAACTGAAAAATGTATTCCAACACTTACACTGCACGAATATTTGTTTATTTTATCCGTGTGAAATGCTAGACACGTAGCTCTTCCGAACGCAAGCTCCCGAGTCGTCTAAGATTTTTTCCAGGCAATGACATGCCAGAATATCATTTCGATTAAAGCCGTGACTATGCGTTCAAACAGTCAGTCAGCTAACCAGACCTGGGATGCATTTTCCGCGGGTTACATTTACAGGGAACTCATTAGAGGTCATTCCACCCTACCCTGAACACGATATGACCGAACAAAATATGAGTGGGAGGTACTCTGTTCTCCTATGATATTCTCCACAACATGAGGAGCTCACATGGCCTGGAGCACAGGACATTAACAGATTTTTACTACAAGACCCCCATAACATTTGCTGGAAACACTGAGTGTTCATTGTGCGATTGCCACCCTAATTTTAAGTCTTGTAGAATATTTCAAGGTTGAATCAATTTTTGCGCTTTCTCCTTGATTATATAATACTTATATCTAAGTACCGATGAGTATATTTAACAAACTCAGTTATTAAAGTTGCTGTTTCTGCAGACTCATGTAGTGTTTTTCATCCATTCGGAAACTTTTGTGGTGCCATATATAAGTCGTAATATTGGCTTTGTGGAGCCTAGTAATAAATCAGCGGTCTAACCTAACCCAACCCAGTCAAGTATTTCTCATTTCAACCGCATTCACGTGAGAAAAAAAAATTATTCTACCCGGTCATCCAAAGAGTATCAGCTTTCTCCTATCAGAAACTAATAATTCTAATGATTTATTTCATAAAATTTGTTCCCGCTGATTCCAAAAATTTCTTAGAACGAGCTGTCCGATACTCAGTGAACCTTTCTTAACCGACTTTTGGGTAGATAACTGTTGTTATTGATATCATGAAGAGTTCATACTCGTTTTCAAGGTTATGTTTCACACAAAAAAATGGTTGCGCTAACTTCAAACAAGAGAAAATTAGTTAGAAGCTGCGTCGTCTTCCGATCTAACTTCTTTTGACAATGATCGCGCCAGTTGCTTGGAAACTCTAAATGAAGCCAGCTCCTATTTCATCTAATCTTTCAAACGGGTTTGAAGTTCTTTGATGTTGCTGTTTTAGTATTTCGCTCACCCAGTTTAGAAGCAGGCAAAATCAGTCTAAATCAACGAGGTCATTTAACGGGAGGTACAGGAAACGAGCTGGGCCATCAGTCTGGTCCGAAAAGAGGGCTTAAATAAATTGATTTTAGGGCGCATGCAGAGATGTGGTTAGTGCTGTACGGGACTCATTGCAAGCAGGACATAAATATGGTATATCGGGATCAAGTGTAGATAGGTAGGATCATAATATACGAAAATATTCAGATTTCAGTTGTGCTAGTATACGCGGGACTCTCCAGTCCGCTCGAACTCTTCGTCTGCAATAGGTAGTCGTTTGAATCCGAGACTTTCGGACGCGGTTGTAGTAGATGGTACTGAATGCAAGCCTAAGGTCAAAGGTCTCCTTAACTTGTGGCATAGATGCTTCGATGCGGAAGTGATGGTCTGGTGACATCAAGAAGTTTGCTCACGTCTCTGAGGGCGTAGTTATTTTGGCAGGCTTGTAGCTTCTTCATCTACCAATTGGGCTGTAGGCTGCCAGGAACGTTTCTTTGTCTTTTCCCAAAGTTCTGCCGGCTAAGGCTTTGAGGATTTTTTTGCGGCTCTGGAGTTTTGTGGCAAATGAAGTCGTATGTGGAGTGAAGGAATGCAGACTGTCGAATGTGACTTCTGATAACTTCGGGATGTCGGAATTTTTTACATCGAGTACCGGTTCGTCCAACTGGTGAAGGGGGTAGTCGAGGATTTTGTTGGTTGTAGCCGTGATTGTCTTACAGTAAAGAAGTCGAAAGGTCGTCGTGATAGCAGTTTATTTTGGACGATAAGTCATCAATGTCCTAGCCCGACGCCAATATCAAGCCATCATTGGCATTGTGGTTTGATACCAACCTCTCGCTCACATTGCCACTCTCTACTGCTACTTGATGTTCTCTGTTCGGATGGCGCCCACTCTCATGTTGGTCTGTCAGCTAATGATGTAATTGAGAGTTCTCACTATTTATTGTATTTTATATGTATTTTATATGTATTATATTTTTATTAACAACAATAATCTATATGTAAATGTAAACTTTTACCCAACCATTTCAGGTAACGGAATTGATATCTTCCCTACTGGTCATGCACCTGGCCAACACCACCAACACTGTCACATCGAAAAAAGTATTTTGTATTGTTGGCATCGCCATACTTCACATCACCGCCAGTAGTTTTGATCAATTCTTCTTGAATGTGGTGCGCGGCGAGGGGTATGCGCATCAAGTTGTGCGCGATATTGGTTTTATGGTGCCCGACATACTACAATTAATCATACCATTGTGGCTCTTCCGCAAGACGCGTAAGGAATCATACACAACGCGACCCTTCTATCGAGACCGCAACCTGCACAAAGACATTGTGGCGATGTTATTCTTCGTGTTGGCTCTTTTTGTACTCTGTACGATTTTGTGAGATAAAATTTTCCAATATCTACAGATGTTAAATAGCGAAGAGGAAGCGCGTGCTACACGGCGTATGAATCTGATGGCTCGATTATATTCGAATTTTTAAGGTATGTATGTTAAGTGCAAGTTTAAGCAACAACCAAGTGCCGGCTGGCTTGAGCGGGCAGTTGGGAGGCAAATGGAGAACTGAGGTCTGCACTTGTGTGGTTGCACGAATTTTGCTAAAACCGAACTGTTGGCGTGTAAGTTTAGTTTTAGTTAGTCTTAGCAATAAATACAAAGAAACTGTAATAGATGCGTACATATATATCATAATATATATTATAAATAGAGTTGCATATACATTAACAAGCATAGGTCAGCGTAGTTCAAAGAACAAAGTTTTTGTTATTTACCTCTCTCTCTCTCTCTCCCTCTCTCTAACCGTGTGATAACTTTGTACGTCTCTTTAATAATCCTAGATTCTAAAAACTGTATTTATTGTTATTGTTTAAATTTTTTTACATTTATTTTATTTTGTAGTAATGAAAACGAATTGACTGACACATAGGCAAACGCATGTATTTTGTCAAATCTTATTATTCTCTTTTGAAACTGAGGCCTGTGTTTGAAATGAGCCTATATACGAGCTGCAGAGTTGAATAGAGTAGGTAAAATGCCGATGATAATGATATCATTGGCCTCACAAACCGCGTCGTGGGTTTTGTTATCTCCCGCTCACGTCACTGTTAACAGTCACAACTTTGAAGTCGTAGACCCGCAGTAGAAGGAAAAATTACCTTTACGAGTGACGAGACATTGATGTACCTCAGTGAATCAAGAGGCAGCGACTACGTAGATGCGGCAACCGCCGGTGGAAGGAAGATCTCCACTCCACTGGAAAGATCAATATTTCCAATTGACGGCAAACAAGAGGTTTACTTGGACGCTGCGTTGAATAAGTAGCAGAATGTGCCACTAATCGGCGGGACATAGCTTCGAGCCTAGTCCGAATCCACATCTAAAAAATGTAGAAAAAGATTTGTGCTCGGCACGAGTTGTCTGTACCTTCGAGTCGGGTTCTAATATAAAAACATTAGAGCCAAATTTTTGGCACACGCAAGCAGAATAAAGTTAGTTTGGCGTTTGCTAAGCCCGCACTTTTGTTTATTTCATGTGAAAACACTTGCCATCTGGTCTTCATGTTACCTGCAGCTCTTTATTCAAAGTGAGAGCATCAAACAAAGTAAAAGGTGCTTTTTTAGACGTGCGGTTTTAAAGCAAAAGTAAAATACATATAAATTAACGTTATGGCCAAGAATTCAGCTTTATTATAAAGATAAGTGCCGGCCAATTTTCGCCCACTTTTTCTGCAATTCGGACGATTTGTCAGCAATAACGCGCGGAATATTATCTTGTTTTCTATGGTGTCAATCGCCTCGGGCTTAGCTGCGTAGACATGTGACTTCACATAACCGCAGATAAAGTTTCCTTCAGTAAACTTTCCAACCAACCAAAAGTCTTCCACATCAACTTTCTTCAATTCAAGCACGAAAATGTTATTAATCTTAGCTCTATAGCGGTCCCCGTTAACTGTAGTAATATGGTCGGCTTCTCTTCACGCGCTTGACGGTCGTCCGGCTCCCACAAGACAAATGTTACGCGAGGTTACGAATGAACTCATTCGGGTCTTATTTGAATGAATTTGGTTTGAAACCGATCTATGGTTGCTCGAATTATCGATTTTGCTTGAATATTGACTCGACGGAATGTTAAGGCAAAGTGCGATGCGTCGCACGAACCGAATCTTCATATTGGTAATAAATTTTTACGATTTTCAAATGGTGCTACCGCGGAAAGTTATTTTGAAATGACAAGCCCAACTGAGTATTAATGAAGAAATAACTGTCAAAAAGACACCAAGTCCGAGAACAGTATTGCCTCCTTGAAAAATCCACGTATAAAAATATACCAAACAATGGGAAGATGTCTGTGCTCCCTTAAACTTAAACCCTCCTCAGAAGGTAAATCTGTTGGCCGAAGGGAGCAGTGCATGCTCAGAAGCAATAAACTCGATTCAACTAAGCTCACACATTCAGCCAACTTCTTACGCACGAACTATAAAAGATTTATCTTTGATCCGAAGCCTCGGTGGAGGTTTGACTGTTGCTATCTGAAACAATTTTCGGCAGAGCTCGATGGATTTTTGTGTACAGCTTTTATTTCATATCAGAAATGCACTCGGAAGGCTGGCATTCCCGACCGCAATAACAAAATGTGATTTTCTATAATTTTGGATACTTGGACACTTTATCTCTTCTCTAATGAAATGCTTACGAATATATCACCCAGATAAACGGGACAAACACGACATTTGTAATGGCAAAGAAATCGACTTTTAAAATTCGTCTTTGAATATTCACTCATACATACATGCTGAGCCGAGAGCCTGAGTTTGAAATCAACATTTAACTTCACTTATGTAAATAACCCCTCATCAAAAAATATCCGAAATTTATTATAGAAACCGTAACCAGAAGAAGACTGAGATATCTAGTAGTCCTTCAGCTGGATTCAAGTTTGATGTAAATAACGTGAAAGATTATACAGAACAGTGATTCACAATGAGTATGGGTGAAGTTATTGTACTAGGTCGGTTGCACCGGGATGAGTTCTCATTTATCGGTAATTGTGAAATCACTGCCCCGCGTCTGGGATATTTGACAAAATAAATGCGTTTCAATAGTTGCATAAAATAAATTAAATATTTGTCTTTTGCAAAATATTCAAACTACTTTATTCAACTTCAAAACACGTTGTAGTGAAAACAATAAAATTGTAGATCATAATTAAATTGAAATCATTTCAACGGAATTATGTATACCGTAGTTGATATTTAGATCATACATATGTAGCACAAACAAACATATTTACAATTCTAAACATACATACAAAATTATTATTTGCTAGTTTTATTTTTCCTTCTGACTTCCTCTCATTTTCCTTGCTGTGATTCACACTTTTCCTTTTTAACGAAATATCTTTGTTATAATATAAATATTAGTATGAAACAATAGCTCCGTAAAACGAACGAAACAGTATTGAAAATTCTCAGAAAAGAAAATTACGTAAATAATCCACAACGTATTTGTGCAATAAATAACCAAAGTGTTAGATACATATAACAATAATAAAAGAAAAATTAATAATATCATGAAAAACATACCATATCTTTATGCAAATATTCTATAAAATGTGTTTGAATAAAAAGTATCACGTTAATTGAATTTAAAATGTTCGAACAAAAAAAAATAACATTCGATATTGACCTTAAAAAAATTGAGAATTGAACACATATCGACAACTACGTAATTACACATAAATTAATATCGATATACATATGTACATATCTACGAGTATGACCAAAAAATAATGAAATGTAAAAACTTCTAAATTTTGATTTTAAATTAACATAGACTAAAAAACTTACCTTGTCTTTAAAATTAATTAAAAATAAAGTAAAATAAAACTGCAACAAATTATATAATATTAATATAAAAAAATATTAATAATAAAAATAAAATGAAACAGAATAGTTTAAAATAAAGTTAAACAAAATATAATAAAACAATATAAAAAAAAAAATAAAATCAAATAATATATATTAAAATAAAATAGCAAAAAAATAAAAAAAAAATAAAATTAGATAACATTGTATGAAATTAAATTATTTAAAATAATCTTAGTACAATAAAAAAATTCAAGTGAAACGAATTACAATAAAACAGAATAAATATAATTAAAATATAGAACGAAATAAAATAAAGAAATAAAATAAAATAAAAAATGAATAAAATCAAATAACACAGAATAATATTATATAAATTAAAGTTAAGTAAAGTAGACATGAAAAATTAAATTAAGTAAATTGAAATAACTAAAATAAAATAGAATAAAGCAAAATCAATAAATTAAACAAAAATGAAACGAAATAAAATAAAATATATCTATTATATTAATATAAAATAATACAAGGAAAAATGTTATAAAACAAAAGACAGTTAAATCTTTTAAAAGCAAATAATATTATAAGTGTTAAACAAAAAATCAACGAAAATATCATAAAATAAAACAAATCAAAATAAGAATAAAAAAAATAGAATTAAATGAAATTCAGGAAAATATAATAAATAAATAAACAAAATAAAATAAAATAAATCAATTAATCTAAATTTATAAATTAAATGAAATAAACTGAAATTAAATTAAATTTAGTATAAAATTATATGAAATTAAATTGAAATCGCTGCGTGGTTTGCATTGCGTATTGCCACTCAGAAGGTTCGGGTTCAAATCCTGGTGTCGTACTAACATCCAAAAAGTTATAGAAAAATAATTTAAATAAAATATTAAGTTAAATTTTCTAATTGGGGTCACCCTCGGCAGGGAATGTCAAAGCCTCTGAGTGTCTTTCTGTTATAAAATTAAGGCTCCTCGTATAAAACCATCAGCTGTTCCGAGACGATTTTGTATAAACTGGAAAAAAGCAAGACGCGAAACCACAAATTGGAGGAGGAGCTCGGCCGAAAAACGCTTTAGCGGTTACAAAGCGCCAATTACACATATATATATATATTTATAAACAAATTAAAGTAAATATATTAAATTAAATAAAATTAAACAAAGTAAAATTAAATAAGATTAAACAAATTTAGTAAAACAAAACAAAATAAAATAAAATAAAAAAATATTAATAATAATAAAAAAATAATCTAAAACAAGTTAAACTGAAATAAAATAAAATAATATGAAACAAAATTTAAAAAAAATTAATGAAAATAATATAAAAAAATAAAATTAATCAAAATAATAATTATAAACAAATGAAAAAGTATAAAATAAAGTACAAAGAAATTTAAAAATTACTCAATTAAAGTTAATTGTTTTAAAATAAATGAAATTAAATAAAATAATACAAAACGAAATAACTTAAAATAAACCACAATAAAATGAGACAGAATAGAATAAAAAAGAAAAAGAAAATACATTAAATAAATAAATCGAAAGCAAATAAAAAGAAAATTAATGAAATATACAATAATAAAATGATATAAATTACAATAGAACAGGATAAAATAATATATAATGAATTAAATTAAGGTAAAATATAATAATTTCACTCTTTTATTATATTTTACCTTATTTTTTTATTATATTTTATTTTATCCTGCTCTATTATAATTTATATCATTTCATTATTGACTATTTTTTTAATTTTCTTCAAAAAAAATTCAACTAAACTAAATTAAATTTGACAAAATAAAATAAAGTAATATAAAATAAAATAGCATAGAATAAAGGGAAATAAAATTAAATTAAAAAATTAATAAATTGAAATAAAATGCAATAAAATTAAAGTAAACTAAATTTCATCAAATTAAGAATAAGCAAAGAAAATGAAATAAATTCACATCAGACTCACATATCTCTCCCTAACCTTTTTTCCTACATACAAACATGTATTTGAGTTAATAATCTAACTTGTTTTTATCTTACTATTTTCTTTGTTATTAGAATTAGACTGATTATGGGTAGTAAATTATGGACCCATTAAAAAATCCTCCTGAACCTTATAGACTATAAAAATGTTAGGTGTTTATACATTGGCGAAACAACGAGTGTTTCTTGGTAGCTGATAATAAATATACACTCATGGATAAAAAATAAAATAAAATAAAATAAAATAAATTATTACGAAATTTACTGTGTAGTACGTGCGCGCATGGATTTAAATAAAAAGTTTTTACATATAAAATCTTTCTCGAAAACTGGAAAATTATTATTTTTATTATACATATTTATAATGATGCAAAGTATTGATGATATACCAAAAAATATATGAAATATATATGTATATCCGTGAAAACTTTTTATTTAGATACGCGGGCATAGAAAACTCTATTGTGACATATTACATAAATTTAAACAAATTTAAATTACTATACATAGTAGTGGGAATATATTCATAGAAAACAAAAATAAAAATTTATTAACAATTCAATTTAGTACGTAAATTTTTCTAATTTAACAATTATATTTTTAAAATTTTTATACATAAACAAAATAAAAATATATACATACATACATACATATATGAATAAGTAGTAAGTAAATGAGAAAAAAAATTAGGAAACATACTCAGTAAAACCAAAAGGAAAAGTTATATAGAATATACATATACCCAAACATGTATACACATACAGACATTTATACATAAATTATCAAAAAGAAATTAATTAATTATTTAAAATAGATAAATAACTCGTAGAGATACTTAGTAACAAAAATATATAAAAATGCATATATTTAAAGCATATACATACATACTTACATTGAAATATTAGATACGTCTTACCATGAAGCACAACAAACCGTTTAATATATATGTATATGTATATATATAAGCAGAATAGCTCCCTAGGATTTATAGAATCAAAATTAGTTTTTTATGCGTAGAGAAAAAAATTCATATATACATATATACACATTTATGAATAACAAATTAACGAAGACCTTAGAAAGGTACTTACATACAAAGAAATATCAATATGTAGTATGCCCTAGAAGCAAGTATATATATGTATGTATTATATTGTCATATACATATACATACGAGTATATATAAAAAATAATAATTAGCACAATAATTGACTACGAACAATATAAAACAAAAACAATAAACGTTGAAACTTACAGATAAACAAAACAAAAAAAAAATCTAGAAACTTATTTCTCAATAAATTTGGTATTTTATTTAATTTGTAGTTAATATTAGTTTTTCTTTATAGAAAATAAAAGATTTTAGTTAAAAGCAATTCTTTTAGTTACACAGCAACTAGGTCAGAGGCGTCGATTTATTCAATAAAAATAGTCAAAACAATTACATTTTCCTTAAAAGCGTTTAAAACAGCCAATTTATGGTAAGTTACAAGGAAATGTCATGCGGTAATCGCAAGCTATTTTGACCGCCTGTTTGCACTCCACCCCTTGGTTGATAAAATGAAGCGACAATTGACCCGACATCCGCGCAAATTGGCAAACACTAGCGCGACACTTGATTTCGTCAGCGCAGATGTTCAGGGGAACATCGGGCACACGGAAGTCTCCAAGTCCATATGCTCCCATAGATTTTTGATGTAAAAAAAACACCTAGAAACAGCGTGAACCGACTATCTCAGCAAGGTCCTTAATTTGTCTCTGACCACTCTAACAATATCCGAGATGCGGGCAACAGCATTGGTCCCTTTACCAAAGCCAGGCAATAAAGAATAATTATATTGACCGATATCCCTCCTCTTCCCAGCAGCATGGATTCGTAACACAACTGGAACTAACTCATTTACACCCAGATAATACATGACCTCAAGCAAAAACCGGCTCAGCGCTGGAACTGTCCTGGTAGCACCGCATTAAAAGCATCTGATACCTTCAATGCTATTATCGGACATTACGGGTTATTTATTACCGCCGGGATTGAAGTGGTGGACCATGGACTACTTGAGCGGTCGACAATCATCGCTGGAATTTCGAGGTCAAACATCAACTCAGAAAGATTAAACAAGAAGTTACGCAGAACGGCGTTCTCTCTCCACTGTTTTTTTAACTTCTATTTTCTGAAGATTCCTCCTCCACCAAAATGGGTTTCACTGAACTCATATATGCCGATATTGCCATCTCAACGAAATTTCCTACTTCTTCCCTGCTATACAACTACAGCTATAGCGTCGGCTACCCTCTTCATTAGCTGGACGTAGGAGTATCGGCACCAACTCGATGGGAAAGTGTCTATTAACAACCCAACGTTACTGGCAGTCGCAGTCGACATCCTGTACCTCCTTCACTCTGAAAACGACTGTAGTTGCCACAAAACTTCAGAGCCGCAACAAAATTCTTAAAGCGTCTGCAAGCAGCACTTGGAGAAAAGATAAAAAAAATCGTTGCCGGCAAGACACAAGACAATTCGCGTTCCGATTGTTAACTATGCTGCTCCGATCTAAACGCCGAAAATTAGCTAGACGCAGATATAGAAGTTACAAGCCTGCCAAAACACCGCACTCAAGAACCTCCAGATGTTATCAGAGCATCACTTCCACAGCGAAGCATCTACGCTACGAGTCAAGGAGCATAATGCATTGCTGTGCAAACAATATCTGCATACTATATGCCACCTCGACACACCAGAAAGGGAATACCCGACCTTAAGGACTGCATTCAGCAACACTTATAAGAACCGTTGTACAGGACGGATTGCCGACAGTCATTAAATGACATTCAGCGAGAGTCAATCAACACCTTTCTTAGTTCACTTCCAACAAATGGCGTTCTCGGAGTCAAGCCACGACTTATAGAAGAAGAAGAGCTCCAGCTGCCTCGAGAGTCCCGCGTAATACTAGCACAACTTACGTCTGGATATTGTAGTAGATCAAACTGCTACCTATCCAGACTTGACCCCGACATACCCAACATATGTCCTGCTTGCAATGAGTTCCCGCACGACACTAAACACTTCCTTGCATGGCAACTAAAACCAATTAATCTAACTCCCCTTTCCGTCTGGTCCGAACCCTTCGGAACAGCTCGTTTACTGGACCTCCCAATAGATGACAACGTTGACTTAGACTAATCTAGCCTGTTTCTAAGCGGAGTTAAGAAACCCCTGCAACAACAACAATATTTAAAATGAAATGGTTTAAGCTATCTACAATAAGTGTGTGCAGTTTCCTAGCTCTGGGTAAGTATGTATAATAATAAAAAAAAATGTTCGGCTGAAAATTCGACACGAATCTTTTTTAAATTGAAATAAAATGCAAAATATTTTTGTTGTGTGTGTATTAATGAAAATTTATTATAAAATAATACCTAATTGATAACTTATTACGGACAATGAAAATTTGCATATTTCGAATACGTTCATTGTAATGTTTTTAACATATTTGCGTATATCTACATACATACATATATGCCTAGTTCGTATTTCTATAATTAGAATTTGTAGACAATTTATTTGAGTTGAAAACATATAGAACAAGTAACTGTAAAAGTTTAGTAGCAATAGCAATTTAGTTACAAGTATTCAAAGAGTCTTATATACTTTCTAAATGTGTACACTAAGAACTCTTACATTAATAAAAAAAAATGTTTTCGAATTTATTATGCGCATACTCTTATGAACCCTTAAGGGTATTTTCGAAAATTTTCGTATTTGACTTTTTTGTACACATATTTTGATTTTGTTTGTTCCGCTGTCCTAAAAATTATTTTATTATTTATTAGCGATTGCCAAACCAATTAATTGTAATTTAAAATTTTATTTCTTTTTCTCATTTCGAGCTTTTCTTTATAAACGCTTTTACATAACAGCTGGAAATAAATATAATATATAATATTAAATTTACGTTTCTTTTGTTTTTTGTTTTATTACAATAATTATTTGATTTTTATTTTTTTTTTTGTTTTTATTTATTTATTTTTTTTTTTTTTAAGTATGCATACATACTTATAACTATCGTCGATGTGAAATATATGTTTTAATGGAATGTACTGGTACTACAACAAAGCAACTCAAATGCACAGTGAAGGGTTATTTGGTTTTTGAATTGATTGCCGTTGTAAATGACGGTGTATTTGCCGAATTTTCCTAAACACACTGCGAATGCGTGTAAAATGTGGCTGAAGCACAAATTTTCGAATATATTTTATTTTTTTTTTACTTATAGAAGACATTTGTGAAATTATATTTCTTACTTAAAGCACAAAAGCATATATATATATATAAATATACATATATATAAATATACATATTTATATATATATATACAAAAAGACGCGCACTAAAATAATATAAAATAGCTGAAGAAAATATAAAAAAATAAAATTTTACTTTTTTGTTTATTGCCTAGAGATAAGTTTTAGCGATGCAACTTAAATTAAAATACATATTATAAAAACTTAAATTAAAGAAAAAATGGACGGTATAAATTTGCTTTCGTGAGATGCTTATTTTCCCCCTTTCAAACTTTTTCCAAATACTAATATTTACGAGTTTGTAGAACATAAAATCAAAAAAATGCAGAAAGAAACTATTAAATGACAAACTTTAACCAAGCAAGCGAATACAAATACACATAAAATTAGCACAGAGATTGTTGCAAAAAAAAAAAAAGAATTAGATTGTAAATAACCAGTTGGCAAAAAAGAAAATGGATCTCTATTTTACTGACAATTTACATTCTTACATTCGGTTTTTGTTTTTCATTTATTTCGTTTGTGTAGATAAGAACACTTGACTCTTTAGGAACACCGCCAGTTTTTCGCCTAAGACCATTTCCTGTTGAGGGGTTTTTCGCTTCCAACCGGTCTTTGCTTCGATTTCGAAATTGGCAGTGTTGTCACACCAATGCGCAATGTGAAAATTCTACAAATTCTTGTTCGCCTTAAATTAGTTATGCAATGATTTTCTTTTCATCACCTTCAGTTGATTTGTTGTTGCTTTTAATTTTGTAAACATTTCAAAGTTCCGTAGTATTCATATTTTAATATTCGTTTCGTTTCTAATTTGCTTTTTAACCCTTTTAACTTAATGCTTCTTCTTAGTTTCATTTCAATTTATTTCATTTACTTATCTATGGCTTAACGTCTTTCTCTGCGTCGCCGCTTGTCATGTCATGCTTAATATAATTACTTAATTATTATGTGTAAAACAGTATATGTACGCTGCTCGGTTTTGAACGATTCCTTCTTATTCATCTACATACGTGTGTGTGTGTGTGTGTGTGGGTGCATACGCATAGGTGCGTTATTTTGTATTGCTGTTGTTATGGTTGCAGCAGGCTGTTAAGAGCCGTAGCTCCCGTTGACGACTACGTGGTCCAATTGCCTATATGCTGCATACCAAACTATATGAACCATTCTTTCCGTTTCGTCACTTGATGACCTGTCCTCGAGTGTAAAACGGCTTCGTCAGGGTCATCAGCATTTGCGGCACCTTCATCTTCATGCGTTAGATAATCGCCTTTGTGTCGGTGTACATAGCGACCAATTAAGAAGAACATGAGCAGTAGTAGCAGCACTAGTAGAACTAAAATAACTGCAATGCAAAGCGTATTAAAAAAAAAATAAGTTATATACGCAAAGTATAGCACAAATATGCACTTACTGCCAAGCACAACAGAAAAGCCGCCATATGCCTTGCGCAGTTTATCTTCGTCAACGAGTGGCGGTGGACGCGTTTCAATCTCGATGGGTGGATGAGTAACCGGTTCCACACCGCAGAAGTCTTCCGTCAATAGTGCTGTGCAAGAAGAAATAAATTTCATATTTAAAAGTAGCATTGTATATTTCGATCACTTACTGCCTAGAGATTTCACATTAGCCGGTGGATTCTGTTGGAACATCAATTTGAGCGGATAAATATCATCGAATTGCACACGTGACACACAACCTACAAAACCGTCGGTCATCGATTCATTTTTACCTATATACATATATTGTATATTGTTGAATTGCGCATCCGCACTAGCCTTGATATCGAAATTATACTCGACTGGCTCATAATTGTCCACTGTCAGCACAACCGTTGAGCCACCATTTTTACGTGAAAACCGCACATCATGATATTGACCAAGTCCAAAATGTTTCTTGGGGAATATAATTTCCTGACGTTCAAAACCAAAATCAAAGACACAACGCAAAAAACCTGCAAAGGAATATTCTGTGTTTAGCATGCGAGAATCAGTGAGAAGAATTTGGTTTTTCATGGTGCCAGAAAAAACCATTACACAAACCTGAGTTCGATATTTGTATCGTCAAATATTCCCCGGTCAAATTTGAAGAGAATCCAAGTAGAAAACCTTTTGGTATTGTTGTGGTGAAACCAACGCGTATATTTTCAGCAATTGTTGAACGGAAAGAGCCCTCAAATTCATATCGGATAATAGAGCTGGTGCGCAAGTTGACGCCAATTTCTGTGAAATTAGAAATATAGACATAAAATGTATGGAAAATGTAAATATAAAAAGAAATCTATACATTTTCAATAAATAAAAAAAATACAACAAACTCACCATCAGCACAGATGGGTCCTTTGAATGCGCTCCAACGGCAGTCGCACGAGTAGCCATCATAACGTTCTATACATGTGCCGTTATTCAGACATGGGTTGGACTCGCAGCGACCAACACAATCAGCACTGACGCCATATAGACCACGCATAGCATATTGTTTAAGATCGACCATTTTGCCGTTGAGCAGCAAAGCACGTATGCAACCAACATAACCATCGCGATATTCTGTGGTAGCACCAATTACTAGATCTGAGGTAAGATGCAGCGCGCGCACAGGACCTGGCGGCTCACGGACCTCCGCCTTGATTGAACCATCAACCACGAGACGCGCTTCTTTGCTATTTTATTAAACAAAAAAATATATATTGAAGAGAGATTATTAATTATAAAAAAAATTTTATTTTAAGCTACCACCCACCGATTGCGTTCCACACTCACTGTATGCCACTTATTATCATTCAAGTGATAACTAGTGCCCACATTCACGCCAAGCGGTCCACTACCTGCTTGATATTGAAATTGCAGCTTATTACCGCCATTTATGCTAAGCTTAATGTAATCAGTTGGACCGGTGGCATGGAAAAGCACAGCATTTTCTTGTGTTGTTTTAAATTCCAAATAAATATCGCCAGAATGACCCATATCGAATGGTGGTAAATTAATTGTGGCATCCGCTATGCGGAATGTTACAACATTGGTAAACAAATCATCGCCCTCACAACGCAACGGCCCCAATGTGTAACGGCCCTGCTTCTCATCGAGTGGCGTGCCAGTATCGCCAAATTTTACAGCACGCACAGGTAAATGTTCTTTCTCGCGTATATCACCACCATCTTCAGTCCATTCAAGATTATTCGAATCACAATTACACCATTTAGTTGGATCATGACATTTGCCCAAAATGCCGCATTCGCATTTGCGTGAGCCGGGTAGTGCGCCAGCCCAATAGTCCATGGGTTGGTTATGGCGTGACACCCACCAAGAGAACGGACGGAAATTACCCGCTTCAGCTGTTAAGGAGAAAGTCAATAATTAGTGCGTTCTTCTTAGTTGTTATATAAATAATATAAACTTACAAGGTGAATTGAATAGACGCGATGAGCGACAGGAATAACTCAAACGCTGCCAACAGGTGTGTGAACGATTCAGTAGCGCCTCAATTTGTAACATATTGGCATCATACATGATATTCTGTTCGAAAGAGCCGGGTTCCTGGAAACCATCCACAGTTGTGGTGTGCTCTTGGCTGTGACTGAGTGTTGTAATAACGCGACCATCAGCTAGCAAATAAATAATAATAATATTAATATCATTGATAATAGTTTCGCAATAATAAAACTTACAATAAAACTCGCATGTAACTGGGAACGGTTCCAATGGCCCACTGCCATCAACATCAATTTTCAAATTCACGCGCTGGTTCACGTGGCCAACATTCTTGTAAGCTTGGCAGGATAGTGGGTTGTTAGCTGAAAAGGAGTAAAACAGCAAATCATTTTCAGCAATTTCAAATACTCAACAACAAATGTATGCGATAAACTTACATGTGTGGCACACAGCGCCTGCATAACCCGTATTGGCACAATCACAGAAGAATTCCATTGAATTTTGATGGCACATGCCGCTATGCTGGCATGGATTTGGATTACAGCGATCAATCATCTGGCAGGCATCCACAACCACCTCATCGCCACAGCACACCTCCTCACCTGGCACCCAATCTTTTGGTAATTTATAATTGCCATCAACCAAAATCAAACGCATACAACCCACAAAACCGTTCTTATCCACACCGCCAGCAATGTAGTAAACTTTACCCGTTGAGATTTGTATATTTTTCGTTGTGGTCATGGGACGTTGATCGATGTCGAGCACTAAGCGATTGCGCGCAATAGCCAGCACAAACGAATGCCATTTACCATCGTTAAACTGCTCATCGTAGTTATCTAGTATAATGCGTGGTTTATCGCCAATTTTCATGTCGATTTTCACCTTGCCATATTCCAAGAATACACGCACATAACCGCCTGAAGCGAAATCGTGATGCAGCATTACGCCTCTATCCTCGTAGGTACGAAAATAGAATGAAACGTTCATGGTGTTTTGTGCTTCATAGCCTTTGATTTTCACATATGAGCCACGTGTGGTGAATGTCACTGGATAAATGGGTGGCGATGGGCATGCATAAACGGTTTGATATTTGGTATAACGGTATGCGTCGCCATACTCAAAGCTATCCTTCATAGCACGCACGAAATTTGTAGAATTGATAAATAAATTCTCCATGCAGCCGGTGAAATTCTGTGTCACTATAATACCCTCTTGTATGTTCGGTACGGCACCCAAGTAGAGCTAAAAAGCATAGTAAATTCATTAGTTATGTAACATAATATTTCGCACTCAAATCACAATAGCTTACCGCTCTGTTTAAATTCAGCCGCGTAAATTCGCCCTTAATGCGTCCGCGCACTATAACACGATCCACTGAGAATATAATGTCACGTCGATTGCGAGATATCACCACATCATGCCACACGTTATCGTCCAATAAACTGCCCACAGACAGTGATGTCATTAAGCTACTGCCCAAATCCAAATTCAATATCATTTTATTATCCTTCAACTGTAAAGCGAAATAATCGCCCTGTGTGCCGCGGGAATACATCAGCAGACCGTTGGCGAAAGCGGTTTTGAAACGGAAACGTATTGATTCACGTGTGGAGGCAACTGGTTCGTACTGCAGATCGTAGCTAACTAGGCCGGTGCCGTTGAAGTACAAATTCTCGGCAACTAAAGATTTAAAAGCATTATTTTTTCACTAAACTTATTTTCACAATATTTGACTTACCGTAGTCGCAGCCGTAGAGTTCCACACGCATCGATATACGATCGTGCCAACGTGTTGGATTTATGCGCACCCATTGAGCAATTATGGGCACCTCGAAGACATTGTAGTGTATGGAATTGCCGTCAGAGTTGCCTTTGAACATCTACAGAAGAATTTCGATATTTTTAATTTATTTTATTTTTTTTTTTTTTTTTTTGTTAAAAATGATATAGAATTTCTACCACCACCAAGCGAAATGTTAAGAAGCATGCAGTGTGCAGTTTTAGCGAGTCGTCATTGTAAGTCTGCATAAAATGAGAAAACTAAGTGCTTTTACGGACACAAAATAACACGAGAACTTATTAGAATTAAGAAGAATCTGCTATTTAATACTATTTGAAAGTTCCTTGTCATCACTAGACCCTCATACATACAAATAAAATTTGTAGAACATTTTCCTATTTGAAATAAAGTATTTTCAAACAAATATACAAACTCATATATGAATTTTATTAAATTTTTTTTTTGGAAATTGCGTAAGTATGTATATTTTTTTTTTTTAATTTAAGCTTTGGCATCAATTTAGAATGTTTATTTAGTCAATGATTATAATTTTTTATAAAGTTTAATAATTCGAAGCGAACTAGAGGAAATTCAACCTGGATGAACCTAAAGAAAGCATTTTTAATAATAAAATATTTCTTTTATTTGAATTTATTTGGTTTTGTTTGATTTAACTTTATTTTATTTTATTTTATTTTATTTACTTTATTTAACTTTACATTATTTTACTTAACTTTAATTTAATTTAATTTAATTTAATTTAATTCAGTTTAATTTAATTTAATTTAATTTAATTTAATTTAATTTACTTTACTTTAATTTAATTTTATTTTATTTNTATTTTATTTTATTTTATTTTATTTTATTTTATTTTATTTTATTTTATTTTATTTTATTTTATTTTATTTTATTTTATTTTATTTTATTTTATTTTATTTTATTTTATTTTATTTTATTTTATTTTATTTTATTTTATTTTATTTTATTTTATTTTATTTTATTTTATTTTATTTTATTTTATTTTATTTTATTTTATTTTATTTTATTTTATTTTATTTTATTTTATTTTATTTTTTTAGTTTAGTTTACTTTTTTCATATAAAATATGCTATTTAGGGGTTAGTGGATAAGTTTGTGCGCTTTCGGTACGAAACATATTTTTTAATTCAAAATAATTTCTCTCAACTTCAATACACAACATGTATTTGTTTAAAACTAGATTAGATTGTATTATTTTAATTTTTCTAATTTTTTTAACTCTTCTAATATTGAACATATGAAATAAAAAAAATGTAAATATTGAAAGTCGAAACACAAAAAAAAAAACTTACAATTGAACAGCACAAAACAATTTTAACAGCAATCTTCTAGTGTCTACAAGACATACATTTATACATATAGAACTACCGCTCACTGTAGTCTAATCTTACTTTACCTGCGGTTCATTCGATGGATTCACATACGAACGCCAGTATTCGCCATCATCCGAATACTGTACAATGTACTCGGTGACGAACTCCTGCGTGTGCTTTCGTCCCATTGTAGCTATTTTTCGGGTTTTACGCGCCTCACCCAAATCGAGTGTTAGAAAGTGATTGTAAGTATTCTCGATCGGTGTCCAAGCCGAGTCGCCTTTTTTTTGGTTAGAGCATTGTTGTGTGATTTTTGTTAATGTTTTTTATTTTTTTGTTATATACCCAGCAATTTTGAATTAATTAATATGGTGCAGGGTTAATAAGGAGTGGAAGAAAGTTTTTAAAAAAGAAGTTAGTGAAGAGATGTGTTATATATAATATTAATATAGCGTTTTTGAGATAAACCACACACTGTCGATATGTAATTTAAATATTGGCAAAATTTAAATTATTAATAAAATTAAATTTAGATGTTTGACAAATAACAGCAATAATAGTCTGTATTACCCAAAACCTTTTCTGTATGCACGCTTTATAATGTATATATGTACATATATAATATATTTATGACTAGGTGGTATTTATTATTTTTTTTTTTTTGTATGTAAAACACACTCACACCAAGAATGGGAAAATAAAATAAAAACATTTGTTTTTAAAAACTTTAATAAATATTACAGAAAATTAAGGAAAATTAAAAAAAATATTAAAGGAATTAAAAAAAATTAAAAAAAAAAAAAATTTTTAAAGATAGCAAAAAAAAAATATATAAAAATTTAAAAAAAAAGAATTTTATATTTATATTTAATTGATTTTTTTTACAGAAAATTAAAGAATATTAAAAAAAATGATTTAAACAATATAAAAAAATTTAACAAAAATTAAAAAAAAAATATTTATTTGAAATCATTAATAAATATTACAGAATATTAAAAAAAAACGAAAAGATAAAAAAGCATAAAAAAAGTGTAAAAAAATATTTAAAAAATAATTATTAAAAAATAGTAAAGAAATTCAAAAAAATATTAATCAAAAAAAGGTTTAAAAAAATAAATATAAATATGTATTTAAAAACATTAATAAACATCACAAAAAATTAAAAAATATTAAAAAAAATGATTTAAACAAAAAAAAATTTAAAAAAATTAAAAAATCATTAATAAATATTACGGAATATTAAAAAAATAAAAAAGCATTAAAAAATGGTAACAAAAAATATTTAAAAGATAGTTATTAAAAAATAGTAAAAAAAATTAAAAATATACAAAAAAATATTATAAACAAGAATTTTATAATCAAAAAAAGGTTTAAAAATTGAATATAAATATGTATTTAAAAACATTAATAAATATTACAAAAAATTAAAGAATATTAAAAAAATAAATTAATTAAAAAAATGGTAAAAAATAACAAAAAAAAAAATCATTAAAAAATAGTAAAAAAAAGGAGATTAAAGAAATTAAAAAGGCTTCAAAATTAAATACAAAAATAAATTGAAAACATATTACATTTTTTTAATGAGAAAAAGGTGTATAAGAAATCTACAAAAGCGCAAAAAAGGAAAGCAAATGAAAAATAAAATAAGCGCATTAGCAACATAGCTACGGGGATTAGCACAATATTACCGTTACATGTTTAGAATGCAAGCTGAGTAGCATAAAAAGTGGTGGCAAGTCCTTCTGAGTGCACTACAAAATCACCAACTCAGCAGCAATAAAACGCTGCGGGAATATGCTAATGCAGCGAGATTACTTATTTACAAACAGGTAACAGATGGTCGCAGACAAACATATTTATTAGTTGTAAATGTAATGGATTTTTTTTTATAAGAATTTGTTTTTATCGTTAGAACATTGCATAACATATGCCACGCATTTATTTATTTTATTAAGTGCGAAATTCAGCTTTTTTTTCTTCTAATTTACGAGCTATTCCTCCACCTTTTTTTGTACTTAATCCTTTTCGAATATATACGTGTGTATTATATACATGCGTATGCCTGTTTATGCATATGTATATATTTAAATATGTGGGCGTAAAGGGCTGTTGATGGTTATTAATCGGCGGCTTACCTTAACATTGCCGCCGGGTTCTTTATAATCGGCAAACTCCAAATCAGAAATGCCATAACTTATGGAATACTCAGTGACAAACTCATCGCTGTGCGGTCGTCCTTGTAGGGCGATGTGCGTGACATTTCTCACATAGCCCAAGTCAATGATAAGACGTTGATCGAAATCGGAATTCTTAGCAGACCACGAAGTGCCGGCTGTTTTTGGTAGGTATATTTATATTGTTGTTGTATCATTATTGGAGTATTGTGACAGGAGAGGAAAATAAAAAATCAAATAAAAAAGTTACGTAAAAAATTAACTACTAAAATAAAATAAAGCGTCAATAAATCTAATACTCGAATAAATACTTAGAAAAATGCAGATATTTTTAAATTTTACTAAAAGGAATATTTTTTATAAGATTAATAAATCAATGCTTAATACTTGAGAAATAAAGATTACGCATAACTAAGAAAAACACAAATAAAATATAAAAAATAAGACTTCAAGCAATACAGTTTATATACATAAATAAAAACGAGTAGCGATAATGAAAGCTGAAAACTCTAGAACATCTGGACGATGTTGACACCAATTTGTATTGGTCTCCGGCAAGAAGAATGCCCAAGAAAATTCAGTGTATTGGTTCAGGGGCCGACTTATTTGTAAAAATGTGGCACCTAATTTTCATGCGGAACTCTTTTTTTGGATTCGATTTAATAAAAAAAAAGTTCTTTCCAATAAGAGGCGCTATTTTGAAAAGCCTGCTATTCCGTTAGATTTCCCTTTTGAAGCTGTAATTTTTTTGACATTTCACAAGTAAAAACTACACCAGTATTAAAAATGGAAAGATACACGTTTCAACAACGTATGGAAGTTCTTAAAATTCACCAAAGAAATGATGAAAACCTGCATAAAACACGTGCACGTTGCTCAAGCACAACTGAAAATATTGCTGCTGTAGCCCAAAGAGTTGAAGAAAATACAGATTTGTTCATTCTTCGTCGTTCATTACACCATCATTTCCATTTAGACTTGGGTCTTAAAGCTTATAAAGTTCAGTTAACACAAGACCTCCAGTCGAGTCTTTGCTAATGATGCCCATTTCCACCTCGCTGGTTAGGTTTATAAACAAAACTGTTGAAAATCCTCATCCTTTCATTATTTTTTATGCCCGAAATTGAATGGTATTATTCCTCCTTTTTCCAAAAAAAAAAAACATTTTTCATTGAATATCAAAAAGAAAAACATTTATTGGATGAGTGCATAAGTTCGTGCCCGATTTCAAGTGCAAACTAAAATTGAAATTTTTTGAAGAAAGCGCTTTTATTAATCAATTATGTATTCGCCATCATGTTCGGCAATCCACTCCCAACGTTCAACCAATTTACGGATGCCTGATTCATAGAAATCGCGCGGTTTCTCGTTGAAAAAGGTGTCAAGGTGGTTTTTGACGTCTTCCACATTTTTAAATTTTTTTCCATTCAAATTGTTCTGCAGCGATCGAAACAAATGATAATCAGAAGGTGCAATGTCGGGTGAATATGGGGGATGCGGCATGATTTCCCAATTCATCTCCTTCAGTTTGGCCAGGGTCGGTTTTGCAACATGTGGCCTGGCGTTGTCATGATGGAAAAGAACTCCTTTGCGATTGGCCAAAATCGGACGTTTTTCATCAATTGCTTTCTTCAATTCGACCAATTGCTGACAATACTTGTTGGCAGTGATCGTTTCTCCAGCTGGCAAGAGCTCAAAATAGATCACGCCTCGGATATCCCACCAAATGCACAGCAGTACCTTCATCGGATGCAATCCACCTTTCGACATCGGTTCCGCCCCTTCGTGTGCCTGTTTCCATGTTCTTTTGCGTTGAACATTGTTGTACAGGATCCATTTTTCATCACCAGTCACGAGCCGATCCAAAAAAGGTTCGTTTTTGATCCGTCGAAGCAAAGAAATTGCTGTTGACATACGGTCCACTTTGTTTTTTTCACTCAACTGATGTGGCACCCATGTATCGAGCTTCAAAGTGTACCCAACCTTTTTTAAACGACGAAACGCAGTTGATTTGTTGACGTTCAATTCACTGGCAACCTCTTCCGTCGAAATACGTGAGTTATTCGCAACTAAAGTCCTTAGAACATCGTCATCAAGCTCAGAAGGCCGTCCACTGCGAGGTTGATCTTCGAGGTTAAAATCTCCAGAACGAAATTTCGCGAACCATTTCTTTACTGTGCGGAGTGCTGGAGCACGGTCCAAATAAACTTCGCGAATATCTTTAGTTGCAGCGCCTACTGTTTTTCCTTTGCGGAATTCGTATAACATAATATGACGCATATGATCTTTTTCGTTGTCCATCTTAAATGCGTCTTTTCACTAAGGAACTCAAATCAAAATGAAGTTATTTTATGCTTGATTTACAGTTCGGACTGTCACCTTTCCAACGATATATAATATGTATATATTTCTTTCACGATCGCTACTCTCAAACGATTCGAACGGCATTCAGCGGAATCGGGCACGAACTTATGCACTCATCAATATTTCAAAACTCGGTATAAACATTTAATGGTCTGAAGTAGATCAGGGCTCATCCCATAACCCGATATACGTATATTGGCCTCTTTAGCCGAGCTATAAGCAATGGGTACTAGCATGTGACGAGTTGTAGTCTCGAGCGCTGGCCTGACCAAAATCCGAAAAAAATATTTCAAACAAACTGCATCTGCCGAAAACGCTTTAGCGATTATAAGGAGTATATATGTATAATATATATAAATAAGAAGATTCAGTAGAGCCATTGAAATCTAAACGCAGCATATGTTCACTCAATATAATTCTCTTTAATTGGCTGATTTGGTCATATCCTCTCGAAATGGTCTGAGACTGATCGACTTCATCGTTACCTGAAAAATGGGTGTCTGTAATACCAAGCTACTTGGCTGTCACTGGATCGAAAGACGCGAAGCCGTCTAACGGAAAACACCTCTTCAGTATTTTAGATGTGGGTACTCTCCGAGGTCTTAACATCGGCTCTGTACAGCGAGGAATGAGCTTCCACCATTATATGGAAGGCTCGACGTTGAGAAGCTGGAATCACAGAAGAAGACGGTCAAACAATTTCCCACTCTATTGGCATTCCTGCTCTCTGTGAGCAGCTGTGGGACGGCGTTTACATAAGCCGCTTTCCATATCGCGAAATTACCGCCAATGTTAGCTTAAGTTATTTATCAACATCAATGATGACTAAAATATTCGAGAATTGTTGAGTGGAAAATATTATTTCAATCTCAAAAAAAAAATCTACTTAAGATGAAACAGCTGACGCATAACTGAATAATAATATTAATATACAGTTAAATTTTTCGGCGTCGTCTTAATATGTTCAGCTAATACCGATTCTGCGTCAATGCAATGTCCACGTTGAATGATAAAGACGACAACGTCGAATACGACAACTATTAGAGGGAGGAATTATAAAATATTATATAAACAACTTAGACATGCGACCATAAATCACAGCCACTCAATACAATAATATTGTACATACATATGTAACTCCTATAAAGAACTACACACCGAATTAGTTCGTTACCAGTTTTTGTTTACCCAGCACAAACCAGAACTGTATCGATTGATTTGTAAGCGTAACACCCTCTCATTATCGGGCACGCTCTAAGAATTTTACGTTGCAGTCCGAATGGCAGTTGCACGTGAGCGACGAAACGTTAAATTAGCACAAGGGGGCACATACATATATACTCGTAAATACAATGTTGCAGAGCGAAAACATTAATGAAAACCCAAAATATTTAAAGGACAAAAACCCATGACGTTTGTGAGCATAAAATCTCACTCAAGCAGTGGCAGACACGAACTGCACATGGAAGTGATACTAATGGATTATTGTAAAGGGTGTTATTTTTAGAAGCGGTAATTCGAGCAACCATGGATTGGTCTCGCATCACGTTTACTCTAGTGAATCCTAAGAGATGATGTTATTGCTGGTTTGAGGGAGACCCGAATGAGTCCATCCGCCAACGCGCGATCTCAAGCGCGTCGCATGTTCGCCGAGACGCACCAACCGAATAAAAAAGTCACTATTTGTTCTCCACAATGGACAAAGGAAAACGTTAGTGCGGCTATAGTGTTACAACCAATGGGGTACGTCGTAGAACCATGATGAATGACTTTTCACTGCCTAAATTGAAGGATGTTGATGTGTTGATGTGAGGAACCTTTGCTTCTAACCAGACGGCGTTGCATGCCATACAATTAACAAGACAATCAATTTATTGAAGGGAACTTGTTGGGAGCGCATTATCTCGTGCCGTGAATCTGTAGCGTGACCTCCAAGATCATGAGATTTAAAGCCAGGTTTCCTCAATTTTCTTCTCCTGTAAATTGCTCTTAGAAATAATATAGAATTAGTCACGTGGGTCCGCAAGACCAATAAGTAAATATAGAAGAGCGGAGAGTGGAGCGATGCAAGCGGTAAGTCCGGACGCTCGAATGGCGAAATGTAGTATAGAATAAGACACCGTTTCGCAAATAAAATTAAATTAAATTTAAAAATTATAAAGTAAAGTAAAATTAAAAAAATAAAAAAATAAAAAAATAAAAAAAAAATAAAAAAAAATAAAAAAAAAATAAAAATAATTAAAAATAATAATATTTAAAAAAATTAAAAAATTAAAATAAAATAAAATTAAAATTAAATAAAATTAAAATAAAATAAAATTAAAATAAAATAAAATTAAAAAAATAAAAAAATAATTAAAATAATATTAAAAATAAAAAAGTTAAAAGAAAATTTAAAAAAAATAATAGAAAAATTAAAAAAAATAATAAAAATAAAATATCAATCAATTAATATGTTTACACATCCGTCTACTTATCTACAAAAATTTTGATTTATAAATATTTTTTTAATAAAATTTCTTTGAAAAAAACAGGTTTTTTGAAGGAACCTGGCCTAAACACCGCTGAAGAATTTTTTTGGACTTATGTGAATTCGAAGCCCCAGGCACTTTAAATAGGGCCTCCGACTGGAGTTTATTCGAAGCCACATGTCTAAAAAAAAAACCACCCTTTACTTGCTTATAAAAGGACAAATGCTTAACCGATAACATTTAACTATCATAGGTGAAGGAAAGAAAAGCAATTAAATAGACCGTAGATAACAGGAAACCATTCGAGGACGATTTGTGTAGAAAGTCAATCAATTTTAAATTGAATAGGTGACAAAATACATACATGCATACATACATACAAAACTACAGGAGAAGCGCCGAACCGAGTCACTTTTAAAATAATTGAATCGCTACAACGCAGTAATAAAGAAAATTTCAAAACTAATTGAAATGATTATCAAAATCACCCAAATTGTGCGGCAACTAAAAACGAAAACAACAAAGTAGGTAAATAAATGTAAAAGACTGATTAACAAGCAAACTACCCTCGCCGCAAGCATGGTAACAGAAGCGGAATAGTGCAATATTTTCGAGCAAATTTTTTTTTTGGAAATTTTTGGAAATTTTCGGTGCATTACTCCATGCAAGGACACAGAGAGTGCCATAGTAAGTTGGCTGCAACAGGAAAATACATATGTATGTACGTGCGCGCAAATAAAAAGGGCGAGCAAGTCGGATAACCGACATTATCCCTTTCAAGCTTGACAGGAGTGCCAAAACTAAATGGTCACGCGGCAGAACAAATATGCTCGCCAGCGATTCACTTCAATGCTGTGAATTTCTCACAAACCCTGGGGGAGACAAATATACTTGGCATACCAATTTCGCTGTGCAGCAAGGGCAATGTAATGTGTCATGAATGGAATTGCATTTAGAAGAGGGTAAACGTGTACCATACTGAAGCTAACACATACATACATACACACATACATGCATATACATATATATACAGTATATATTGCTCTGTTAGAAGGAGGAGAGCACAAGTAAGCAGGCGACGACAAAACGGGGCACAACAGTTGTTTCAAACGTATAAAAACAACAATTAAAATAAATTGTGCAAATCGTTAAAACAAAAAAAAAAACACACTGAAAGGGGTTTTTAATAAAAAGAAAAAACACTTTTTCCTGCATTGAAATGTTTAAAGTTCATTGAAAGTGATTTGAACCGATCGCTTACCGCAAACCACTCAAGCAGTTGGCTGAAAAAGCGGCAGGTGAGAAATGGTGAGAGATTGAAGAACCCTTAAAATATAGGGAGAACCTTTGTGTTAAAATTTATTTTAAGCATTTACTGCCTCATTAAACTTCAATTTCGCCTAAAGGCAAGCAAAATCTTATGATGTTTTCGACTTGATGAAATTGGTTTTGGCAATTTTTTTGCTATGTTGAATTCCACAATATAACCAACTTTACCCCCTGGGGTTTAGGGGTTCAAGATAAGGCCATAGCTACAGCGACAGTTGGGACTCTTAATCGAAACCAACTGGATTTCTATGTGGCCAAGGATAGTCACGCTCGCAATATACTCTAAAACAAAAATTATTTTTTATATGTTAAGTATTGTAATGCGAGCGGTGGGCACAAAACTTCTTGCGGGGTCTCAGACCGCGTTGTTTAGCCTATGTTATTGTTGTTGTAGCGGCTTGGTAGCCAAAATTAGTGTATGTCGTCGAGATCATCTAACGGGGAACCAAGAATGTCGAGCTATTTCAGCGGATACCAACCACAGAAAGAGGAGTATTAGACGAATATGTTTCAGTGGACATGCAAAGAGGTGGTTAGTACCGTGTGGGTATTCATTGCATGCTGGGCATGTATTAAGTATGCCAGGGTCGACTCGGGATAGGCAGAAGTTGAGTCTGCTATGGTATCCAGACCTTAATGGGATCGCGTGAGACAGCTGGAGTGCATCAACTACTCTGTATGATGGTTGATTGAATTCTGATTACACCCGTCAAAGGAAGATACTTAATTAGTACCAGTCGGTAGCTCATCTGAAGAAGTGCACTTCTGTGATATTGCCCTGAATAGAGACCCCAAAAATCAAATGCTGGGTATGTGTTAATGTGTAAGTGATGCTTAAGTTACGAGAGTTTTCCGGTTACGACCCACAGGGCAATGTTCAGCCAGACGTGTAGCTTATTATTATTACGCAAAGCTTTTTTTCTCTGTAGAAATCGAGTTGTCGATTGCCTTTTAAATTGAGAACAACGTCGCTGGTAAAGAGAATCCCTCAATGGTCGATACAAGCACTGCATGCTGTCGAAATCGGTAATTCTGTTTATCGATTTTGGTTACGGTTATAAGTAGTCTAGGTTTTTAGGGCGTTAAGATGCAGTCAAAAATGCTGTAAAAAAAAGCGAATAAAATAGCTCGAGCATATCTTAGGGTATAAAAAAGAGAGATCGCCAAAGGTTGACGTTAGCCACCGATAAAGTCGATTGGAGTAGGGAGGTAGGGAGAGCGTAGTGAAGGAGGGATGGCCCCTGCGGGTTAGGAGTTTTAGAATTTCCCGGCGGTAAGGCATGCCTGTGGTAAGAGGCGACTGAAATCCAATAGTTCCCGCTACAGTCGGGTATATTTACCGGATTTTTATCCGGCCAAGGACTGTCACTCCCGCAACATTCCCCAAAAAGTACTTTGGGGAATAATTTATGCGGTTACAACAACATTTGAGTAGGGAGTGCACTGAAAGAATTCTCAGAAAATTCCGTGAAACCACACCAACCAGTTGAAATATGCCCGTTAGCCAAAAGGTGTTATTTGTCAGACCAGACAGCTAAATCAATTGCGCACAATTCCGGTGGGGCGTACTGTTTCTATATACGCTGCCGAACATACTATAGTTACAATAATTTTATAAAGGAAAAAATTCTTATCTAAATTCAAAGTTACAAAAATGAACAGAGAATGCGTAATTGCGCTGGAATAAGATGTTAAAATAAAAAATACAAAAATAATTTTATTTGAATTGCAAAAGTTATATTCCAACTTTATGGTGCATTGCAGCAGTAGATATGCATATGTACATATGTTACAATAAAAAAAAACTTAAGACTCAAGCTACACCTACACTTCTTTTACTTAACATAAACTTTTTCTTAACACCAGAGCACTCATTACTTTTTTCGTTCTTTCCCCAACACGGTTCTACAGTACTCTATCACCTCTGCGCTCTTCGCCGCTTCAGTTGCCATCAAAAGTTCTTCAATTTCCAAATTTTCAAATTTTCCCAATTCTGGCTTGAAGTTTTTAAATGCAATAGCCGCACAATATTTCGGATGTAACAAATGCTCCTCAAAATACCACTCAGGCATGGGTTTATCATTACAACACAACGTTGTGCCCGTTAGTGGTGTTGTACTCATTTCTAGCTCATGCGTTCTATCCACCGTGAAACTTATTTTCTGCAAATCAACTGTTATGCCCACGCCAAGCTCTTTAACGTAGGCTTCCTTGAGGCACCAATGGCGTATAAATGCTTTTACCTGGTCAGCCTCGTTGTGATGTGGGCGTCGTATATAACGCCATTCAGTATCAGAAAATTTACGTTGCATTATGCGAAAGAATTCAGCTAATCCTCTTCCACCGCTATATTCTATTTTCATGACATCCACACCAACACCCACTTGTTCCTCTCCGCTAGTTTTGCTTGAAATTTCCTCATTATTCCTGTCAGTTGTAATGCCTGCTAACACTATGTACTTTCCCTGATGTGAGACATTGAAGCAGAGTTGATTGTTGCAATTACCATCTGCATGTTGCAAATAAGGTTTACCACGTACATCACGTGTAATGTGAACATTCTCATAGCGTATGTTAGTGTTGGTGCTAATAAATTTTCGCATCAACAATCGCCCCACCAGTGATGAAAGGAAATCGTCAATGAAAAAGAATTTCATCAACCGTACGCGTTCCTCTGGCTGTATAACTGCTACCGCCTGTGCCAGTTGTGTAAGTGTTGGTGTCCAGCTGGATATATCCACAGCCCAACGGGTACATTTGTAATGCACCATCGCATTAATGTTGATGTAAATTATTTTTCTTTATATTTTGTTTTTAAATTAAAGTAAGGAATATATTTTTAATTTAGTTAACAAACAGCCGTTCCAATTGGAACTGTCAAAATTGTAAAAAAAAAGAAAATAAAGCGTAAAGAGAGGAAAAAAGAAGAGAGCGGATTACTAATTTTACAGTGCTGCCAATTTTCAATACTGAAAATGTACCGTAGAGATGGCTAATTAACGCAGAAATGTCATTTCATTTATTTAGGAGTAGTCATTTTTTTTTTTAAATTAGGTTAGATTATTAAAGAAATTACAAAACATATGAACAAATAAAATTAATTTACTAATACCAGTATAACTTTACACTATGATAAAAAGTTACAACTATAGCAAATATTAGATTTTTTTTTTTCAAATTTAACTAATCTGTAATTGCAAAGAATTATGAAAATCCAAAAAAAGAAACACTTAAATATGCAATTCTTGAAACATTAAAATTCAAAATTATTGCCTTAATTCAAAGAACTCAGCATAAATAATTATATTACTTAAAAAATTATTAAAAAAAAACTATAATCTAACAAAAGTGTAAACATTTCAACAGATATAAAAAAACACACTCTCATTCATACATACGTACACTCATAAGTAGCTTCATACTAGTCTATTTCCTAACACAATTATAAATAGCATATAAAATGAAATAAAATCAATTAAATCATGAATTTCTATGAATATTCATATATATTTTTCTATTCATATACATATATATATATATATATATATAAATATTTGTTTTCACATTCCTCTTATACACAGCAAGAAACTCTCCAAATGTGTGATTTATTATATTTATTTTTTATTTTTGTTTGTTTGCGTGCGTACAACATGAACTAGACAATAAAAAGTTGAAAAAAAAATTAAGAAATGCATGTTTTCAAATTGTGCAAGATGAACTTTCGAAATTTCTTTAAAAGTTTTACTAACTTATTAAAACTTTTCATTTTTATAGTTTTCAACAATTATTTCTTTAAAAATATAGTTCTTTGAACCATAGTACATTTTAAAGAGTTTCTACTGTATATTGTTTTGTAAGCATTTTCTTTATTATTTGTAAAAATATTTATAAATCGGCACTACACTCACCATTAAGTCGCGCTTTCTCTGGTCCACGATCGTTTAAAGATGAAGTGGCTGTAAGTACGGCATGTTCCATAAGGGGCTGATTACAATCGTAATCAGAGAAGTAGTCACTATAGGAATCTGAAAGGTAATGTGATTGGAAAATTTTATTTGAAAAGAAATGTTGTTATCTTGAAAATTAATGAAAAATTTATGAATAAATTTTAAGGTGTATTTTTCCTTGTTTATTTTTTTTCGTACGATGACCTACTTAAATTTACGAATTACTTTGCTGGCACTTATCCATCCAAAATCATCCACGTAAGCTAGTAAAATCTCATTTATTTTCTTTTGGTTTAATTAAAATATTACAATTTTCGTTTTCTCATATTTCAAGACATTTAAAGTAGTAAAACCAATTTATGCATTATTATACTTGTACACATGTACGTTACATGCTAAAATAAACGTCAACAGCTTAGCTGGTAGCGGTCAGAAAGCATTTCATTTTGACAAGCAAACAAGAATGTCACGAAAAACTTTTATTACACGTTGTCCTCCTCTTCTTATAATTTCTTTGGCAAAAAATAAATATGTATGTATATGCATGTGATTTTCACAATTAAAGTAGGTGTGTGTTGATAATAACTTAAACAAGGCATTCGAAATCTCCATCCCCGTTGTGGCAAATAAGCCACCCCTTTTGCCATAACGCAGACACTTTGGCTGTCGCCGCCGCCGCCAGTAAACGCTACATAGGTATACACATATATTTCAGTTTACATACTTATTTGGCTTTCCTACCGCCTTATCGTGGCTAAGCACCACCACTTAAGTGGATATGTTCTAAACAAAAGGAAAATGCAACAATTTGCATATACATAGGATGATATTTATGCATGTGTGTATATATGTGACTTAAGAAAAGTGCGATGATATACCTACGTAAGTAAACAAATGCAAAGGAAATCGCAAAAAAATATTTTTCCTCCTGTATTTGGCCAGAGAAAAATATATTTGCATATTTTTGTTTCATCAATAAACTCAAAACAACACTCCTTTGTTTCCTAGGAGTTTAATAATGTTGTAGTTGTTTAATCGAAGTCACCTTTAGATATTTGACTAGAACGTGATTGCATATTCATAGATATGGCTACATATTTGCATCAGCCACAATCACCTCTAGCACCTCCTCTGCCTAATTCACGTGTTTGACACACTGATGAGCATTGAACATAATATCTCGCATGCGCATTTCATGATCCGGCAGCATGCTACAAAATGCCGGTCTAGCAAAATGTCCTTGGAAGTAGTTAAATCAAACAGCAGCCGCATTCTACTCTGATTTTCCATTTCGTATTTTAAGTTTCCTGAGGGATTTTAAAAATCTTAACACACAAACTCGTATCCCTTTTAACAAAGATCTTAACCCACTAATAGAGATAAACTAATAGGGATGGCTAGTTTTCAAAAAAAATGTTAATTGCGAAAATTATCGATCCAAGTCAGGTTGTAAACACAGCCGCTTCATAAAAAATATATATATGTAATATGGGTGTTGTTTTGTACTCTCTGTTTTGGCTACCTAGTTCGTAAGCTAAGTGAGACTTTAGGCAGCAAGCTCAGCTTTGGTGCTCTTTTTTGGTGATCGCAGAAGAGCGAGAATTAAATGTTTAACTTGTTACCAACAAGCTATGATTGAGAGCGTAAATAGCCAAAAAGTTCAATTAACCAAAGCAAGAGCAACGAATGATGAGACATCGACAGCCATTACGATCTCAATGTGGAGTCACACCCATAAAATTTGGATAAAAAATACACTTTTTCTATCAATACAACTTATTAACTATTATTATTTTTAATCAAAAATCATATAGTTATGTGCTAATACAGGAAAATTTCTTAAAAATTATCTAATCATGGGTTATAATTACCTGCAGACACATTCCGTATGTTGGAGGTGATGAAAAAAATTCCACAACACAGCAGCGCTGTCTTCAAGCCAGCAGCAGCATTCATTATTGTATAATATAAATTAAGTAAACCGTTTTAAGTTAAAATACATTTAATACACTTGTAAATGCATATAAAATTTTTTGCACTTGTTAGGCGTCTACTTTAAAAGCCACAACTCTATAATTTCCCTTCAATAATTTGACTGGTTGGCAGTGAATTGCTGCCACTGTTGACCAGCGGAGCGCTATCTGAGACACCAACACAATTTACAGCACTTGCACACCGTAGATTTTTCGGGCGTCTAGCATGTTATGTATTGAATTTATTTATGTAAAAAAATGCACTTCTGGAATATTTGAAGAATTTCCGAGCAGCACAAAGAAATGCAATAAATAAAAAACACAAATATCGCACCGTCGCAACCGAAACAGTTATGTTCTTTATACCTCCACGTTCGAATCAGATTTGATTGAACGATTTTAAGAGCGAGCCGTCAGTACTCTTGCTTAATTTGACATTCCAATAAGAATAAAAAATGTGGCCACAAAGGAGAAAGAAGAGAGAAACGAGTTGGCCGCACTGCCCCAGCCAGGGTTACGTTTTGGTTGTAAAAAAATTACGTTGAAGCGAAAGACATAAAATTTATCAATATGCTAAAGCAGTAAAAGCTGTAATAAATTTTTATTTTAATATTTTACATTGTTAGTTTTATAATTAGGCAGAAGTATTCCAATCAATAAAGAACTTAGAGTCGATAAATATTCTCTGTGGCGTACATCACGAAGCAAAAATATTAAATGATGCTACAACTCTGCACACATTTTAGCACATTTGCTTTATTGTTTAAAACATCACTTTTGTTATTTTCATCATATTGACAATAGAATAACAGCGGATTGTTGGGCGCAATTGCTAACAGTTAAACAAAAATAACAATATTTTACTGATACTGATATTCAAAGTATGAACAGCCTCAACATACCCACAGATTTTGGTCCCGACTCAGGCGGCCGTGTAAAAGGTCTGGTTATTGTTAAGCCCATTGTATATGGAAACATAGCACGCTCTTTTGGCAAAAAGAACGAAGATGGGCATACGCATCAATGGAAAGTGTATGTGAAGCCTTATCACAATGAAGATATGTCGGTTTATGTGAAGAAAGTGCATTTCAAGTTGCACGAAAGTTATGCAAATCCAAATCGCATTGTCACTAAGCCACCATATGAAATAACCGAAACAGGTTGGGGTGAATTTGAGGTGGTAATCAAGATATATTTCCACGATCCAACAGAACGCCCGGTAACATGTTATCATATATTGAAACTCTTCCAAAGCCCTGTCGTCGATGGCGAACTTTCTAGTAATTTGGACAATACCAAACGCTTAGGTGCCGCAAATGTTCATTTAGTATCCGAGTCTTATGAAGAAATCGTGTTCCAAGAACCTACACAATTAATGCAACATTTTCTTATGAACGTACAGCCGCTCACTAGTGGCTCATATACACATGATACGGACTGTAAGTACATACTACACATAGGAAAAACGAAAATAATATGTAAAATAATTCATACATTTTAGTTGAAGTAAAAAAGGAGAAAACATTGGAAAACATAATTGAAGTAAAAGGAAAAGTTAAAAGTGAAGTCAATACGCTTAAGGAAAAATTAAAATTGGCACGCGAAACTATAAACAAGTTTAAGGCAGAACTTGCAAAAGTGCAAAAACCACCAACAAACTAAATTATTTGTAGTTAATAATTTTAATTATTTTTATAAATAAATACATATATTACTAAGTATATAAAATATGAGTTTTTTTTTATTTTATTAAAAAAATTATAATTTTCGGTTTAAAATTTAAATAATTAAGTTTTTTTTTTTCAAAGTACAACTACTTTCAGAATTTCAAAATTAAAATTAAATATATATATATTTTATGTATACATATATGTGTGTATCAATTTCGGTCCGTGTTTCAAACAATATCCATGAATTGCAGCTCCGACAATAACAGCACGTTATTAGGCAACGGCCGTGGTTGAGGTGAAAGTACAGTTATGGTTTGTCTCTCCATGTCCACATCAGTACTGAAATGTTGAAAAGATGCAGTGTTTCAGTTACAAATATTTTAAAATATATTATAAATTATATATGTGCTACGTAAAAGTTTTTGTACTTACACGCAAACGAAACCAGCCACATTAGTTCCAATGACATCCTCATCTGTAGTTTCAGCAAAGCTAATCGCCAAAATATGATGCAGTAATGAGGGACTGGGTGTTACCGCTACAACCTTAGTTTTATTGTCTTCTGCCTTCATACCAATGGGCATGCATGAATCAGGCAACGGTGGTGCTCCAATTTTGTACAGTTTCAAATCTTGAAATTTCACCTCAAATGAAAACGGATAGAAAGGAGTTCGATGTCCATAAAAGTATTCTTTAATACGGAGATCACGTTGCTCGTTCCGTAAATCCCTACTTCGTTCTACTACGCCACCACTTTTTGGTAGTAAGACCACGCGTACAAAAGATGGCATATCCCGTAACAACTCATTATACAAACGTTCTTGATCCAACACAAATATGGCATTCACTTCAAACGCCTGGGCAGTGTGTAGTAAATGAGCATAGCCATCACCCTTTACCCAACCACAAGTGTTTAAAATTATACCAGAGTATTTTGCTGTCGAAACAAGTAGAACAATTCAAAATAATAATAATTTTATGATTTCAATCGAATTTTAAAATAATACTAATAATAAGTTTATATGTTTATACTTACTTCGCTTGTTAACATTCATCGATTCCAATGTGACCTCCGCCATTTTCGATACTGTCGACTTGTAAAGCACATTATTGCTACCTGGACTCTTGTGTCCAAAGTGATAAACTAAAGGGGCTATCTGTGAGAATCCTTCTTCGATACTAGCAGGCCGCTCAATAAGTATTGTAGCTATTGTGCCGGGAATTGAGATTGCACCCTGCCCTACATCAATATCCGCGTACAGTGGTCGTCGGCCAAGCCGCACCGCATAATTAAGAAATATGCGACACAAGGTGCTCTTGCCTACGTCGAGCGGTCCTACAACCATTGCTATCGGACCACGTTCATCTTTTTCCTCCGCGCTAGCACGCATTTGCTCCAAAGCCGCATGGCAATTCAGGTACTGCACCATTGGTGTTTCTTTTGATATATAGCTCACATCAGTTTTGCCATTAACATTCAAAACGCATCCGTGATAAGTAAACACTGCAACTTTGGCGCCAGTCCGAAATTCGTATTTTTTCTTTTTTACTAATTCTGTACCAAACATTTCAGCAAAACCAGAAATAAGCTGGAAAATAAAAATTATATATATATTAAACAATACCTAACAATTTAATTAAATGCAAACTAACCATTACATAAACCTTTGCATCCTTATCTTCAATTTCAAAACGCAACTCTGAATCGGCTTCAAGTGTAAAATCTTTTCCTTCCTTAACCTCTTCAGCCATTTTTTTTCGATATTTTAACTCAAAAAGAAAAAAAGTACTTGTATTGTAATTTACTTTAATGTGCAGCCAGATTGTTCATCTAAACGTGTTGATTAAACGAAACGATCTTTATCAATAGTGTCTTTAATGTGTTGTATTCAATTTATAAGCAAATATGAAGTTGTTTATTTACAAACAGCTGTTACTCATTCCAGGGTCGCTTAAAAATAAATTGCCTGGAATATATGCCTGCTGGGAAGTATGTATGTTTGTGCGTTCACAATGATCAACAAATATTTTTCGCTTCATGACACCAAAGAACATACTTTAATAAATTATAAATTAACTAATAAAGCAAAAGCCAAAAAATCGTTAAAAATAAGTTAATATACGTTCTTTTGTTCTTTGCTTCAATGCGGATTATTTCACAGCTCTTTTTCCTTCTTATTAATATACGTTCTTTGAAAAAGCATAATCGCGGGCTTAAGTAAATTTAACCAATGTAAACAACTTATTATAATGTGAACTGTGAACTGTTTTGGCTGACACTATTCTGATCTCTATAATTTTTATCTGATCCAATGTTTATATTTGTTGGAAATCTAAAAAGTAAAGGATAAAATAAATAAACAGTGCAATGAGCAATATTTATATTCAGGAACCACCAACTTCCGGAAAGGTAACATTAATATCCTGATAAATCTTTCGTCGAAATAATTTATTATATTTCACAGGTTCTTTTAAAAACCTCCGTGGGTGATATAGACATAGAACTGTGGTCTCGAGAATGCCCCAAAGCATGTCGAAATTTTATACAGCTTTGCATGGAAGGATACTATAATGGTACGATATTTCATCGTGTGGTAAAAGGTTTCATTGTTCAAGGTGGAGACCCAAATGGTGATGGAACAGGTGGAGAATCCATATTTGGTCATACCTTTAAAGACGAGTTCCATTCGCGTATTCGTTACACGCGACGTGGACTCATTGGTATGGCGAATTCCGATAAGGACGATAATGGGTCACAGTTTTTCTTTACATTGGCGGCGACACCGGAATTGCAAAATAAAAATACTCTCTTCGGTAAAGTGACCGGTGATACCTTATATAACATGCTAAAGTTGGAAGAAGGATTGGTGGACCACAATGAACGTCCTATGTATCCGCAAAAAATTCTGCGAGCCGAAATATTAAATAATCCATTTGAAGATATTGTACCCCGTAAATTGGCTAAGGAAGTGAAGAAAGAAAAAACCAAAAAACGCGAAAAAGGCGTCAAGTAAATATATAAAAAAAATATATAATTATCATAATATTTTTGAATGAATTTTTTTTTTATTAGAAATTTCGGGCTACTTTCATTCGGCGAAGAAGCCGAAGAGGATGAAGTGGAAACTAATGAATTTGTTCAAAAAAATGCTGGAAAAGCAAAATCCATGCACGATGTGGTAGACGATCCCAAACTAAGCAAAGATGCCTTGCGTATTGAAAGCTCAAACATAAGCTGTGATGATGAAGAGGCTTTAGACGAAGAACGTAGGCTATCCCGCATCAAAAAAGAACCTATGGATGATGATGACATTGAAGAACGACGGCAGCGTATAAAAGATAAGCTAAAATCGAAAACAAGAGAAACTAAGAGTTCAAACAAAACAGAAGCAATGGAAGTAAAAATAGAGCCGTCCGACTCAGAAGAAGATGTGCTAATGACGCAGGAAAAAGAGCATAAAATAAAAAGCGAAAAGAAAAGGTAAATGCAGATTATATGGGTAGCCGATCTTCCAACTGATATATATATATTTTTTAGAGATGAGATTCGGCAAGAAATCCTGAACCTTAAAAAACAATATCAAACTGAAAAACGAGAAAGAGAAAATATTACTGAGAAAAAGCAGGAGAAGACCAAAACTAAAGATATCCAACCCAGTGCCGAAGACAACGAGTTCATCAAAAATTTTATAGATGAAAAAGAAAAATATAGCGGTTTGAAATCGAAAATTCCCAAAAAGGGTGCCAGTCGTGAGGATTTCACTTTAAGTTTACTTTCGAAATTCCGCAATAAATTAGATGCGCTTAAGCAAAAGCAAAGCGAAACCAATGATGACAAAAATGAAGTTTTAGATGATGGCATTGTTGAGAAGGAAATACAAGGAGACGATTGGCTAGCACACACATTAAAATTCGAAGAAGCTGTGCCGGTACTAGCAAAGGATGCTTCCACGAAGGGGGATGATTGGTATGATGCATATGATCCCAGAAATCCTTTAAACAAACGTAAAAGAGGAGAGGGTTTCAAAAACGGTGGAAGTAGTAGTAAAAGTACAAGACGGAATTAATAAAATAGTACAAAATATATTTTTATGAACCAATTGAAAATGGGGAATTGGCTAATAAATCAAGTAGCCTTTCTTTGCATCGTTTTCTGTTTTTAAATTTAATAAGATATTAAAATGCTTAAGAATATCTTCAAGGAAAATATCAATGATACTATGGAATTTTATTGATTTTCTCGAAATATTTTGACTTCTCTTTTGGATCGGGTACAATCTGAAATATAAAGTAAAAATTTAATTACGCGTTTCAAAAAAAATTTTTTTTTTTATTCATTACTGTCTCGGCGCCAGGTTTCCAGCCAGCAGGGCAAACTTCTCCATGAGTATCAGTGTATTGGAAGGCTTGTACCAAACGAATTGTTTCATCTACGGAACGACCCACAGGTAAATCGTTCATTGTGATTTGACGCAATATGCCACGGTGGTCAATGATAAATAGACCACGTAGAGTATGACCTAAATCTTCTAAGTAAACGCCGTAATCTCTGCTAATTTTATGCGTAAGGTCAGAGAGTAATGGTATCTTTACGTATCCAAGACCGCCCTCTTTGCGTGGCGTGTTGATCCAAGCCAAATGTGTGAAGTGTGAATCTACGCTTACAGCAACAACTTCAGCATTAATCTTTCGAAACTCTTCTATACGATCCGAAAAGGCTATAATTTCAGTAGGGCAGACAAAGGTGCTGAACATAAAAACGAAAAAAATAATTAATTACACACATATTTAATAAAAGTCAGAATTACTTACAAATCAAGTGGATAAAAAAGAAGAACAAGATATTTTCCACGATATTGGGAAAGTGATAGTTTAACAAAGTCGCCCTTAACCACTGCCGTGCCTTCGAATGCCGGTGCTTGTTTAGATACTATATAAAGAAATTTTAATCCACTATAAATTCAAATTGAATAAAGCACTTACTGACTGCCTTAGTGGTCTGTAGTTTGTGATCACCACGAGGTCCTTCAGCAGGATAGACAGAACCGCCAGCAAATGAATGACAAGAACCGACTTCATCATAGGCAGCAACGCAAGCGAGTCCTACGCACAATAAGAGCGCATAATTTTTCAACATGATTGTGCGTGGGAGTATCTAGATCTGTAAATATCAATTTATAATAGGAGTAAACTTTTAGGCCACGCAAACACTTTATAACTGATTTATAATCGTATTAAAACATGTGGGGCTACATATGGCGATATGTATTTGTGTATAATTGATAAAGAACTACATTCAGGCCGGCTGATATCGCGTTTATCAGTTAGTGTTTGTTGAGATTTTGGAAAGAGCCACGAGACAATAATCGAAAATTGATGACGGAAGCAAAGAAAGGAATAATAACAAAGCTATGGGGATGTTTTTTCGTTGCTTCTATTAAAAAATTTCACAGTACTCTGAATTTAAATTCTTTTATACACATTACACTATAGCAAATTTGATTTTAGTAATTTATTTAATTCGTTTAGCATAAAATTAAATAGTACAAAACTTACACGATACAAACAAATGAAAATAAAATTATTTACGAAAACGAAAACCGGCAAAAGCTAAACACAAGGTTGCACCTTATATTACTGAAAATAGTTCACATAATTTTTTTAGCCTTTATTACATATAGTAAAATAAATATTAAAGTGTAAAAGCTGACTTACACATGTGAAATTCATAATATCAGAAAAATAATTATATTATTATATGTTTGTTCTAAAATAGAAGTTTTCGTTATATCAAAACTACTTACTACTTTCGGAATGCATCCATGTAGCGATTGTTATTTTTTTATCAATTGTCTTTTATTCCAATTGGACTGTTGTTTCATTTTACCTTTTTTGTTTAAGGAGTGTCTGTTACACATTATTTTATTATTTATTTGTTTTGAGTTTTGAAAAATTGTCAAATACTAATTAAGGTACTATTGCGGAAGGTCTAGTACAATTATGTACAACTTATAGAATAACTACAAAAATCTTTCAATTAATTTAAGGTCCGGAAGATCATTGCAAAAGTCAAATATTTTCGACATTTTAATAACCCAAGTGCCTACGATTACTTTATTCACAAAAAGAAAAAATAACGATCACAATGCAAAAAAATCGGGACTATGAAGGCGTTCCACAGGATGCACCACCAATTGTGAGGCAGCCTCGTGCCTTAATATCACCTCAAGGTAATTATTACGCTATTCTGTTTGAACCGTAATGTGGGTAGAAAATTTATGAATGACATTTATCAACAGAAACTTGGATGAGCATTCCTATTGGCATGCCTAATTGTCCCACAGGTTTGGAATATTTAACTGCCGTTGACCAGTTGCTTATAAAGAGACAAGCAGATTTGGTTGAAGTATTTTTTGGCTGTGAAATGAAAAACAAATCTAAAATAAAGAATTCCTCTGGTGAAAATGTGTATTTAGCAGTAGAGGATACGCACTGCATGACCAGAAACTTATGTGGTTCCTGTCGTCCTTTCGATATACAAATTTTGGACAATTTCCAGAATGAAGTACTACATATAAATCGTCCTTTACGTTGCGAATACTGTTGTTTTCCATGCTGCTTACAAACATTAGAAGTGTCCTCCCCACCGGGGACCGTTATTGGCAATGTGGAACAGGAGTGGTCACTGTTCACTCCAACTTATCTGATTAAGAATTCTTACGGAGAGAATGTTTTGCGTGTAAAACGTCCACGGTTCGCCATCAAATGTTGCGCTAATGTTGAATTCGATGTGAGCAATTTTACTGAAAAATATTCACCCATAACTTCATACAAACAATGATCATTTGAATAATCTTTTTTTGATTGACCAACTTGCAGATATTGGCAATGAATGGAGATAAAATTGGGAAAATCTGTAAACGATGGGCTGGTATGGAGAAGGAATTGTTTACGGATGCCGACTATTACGGTGTTAGTTTTCCTATAGAACTGGATGTACGAATGAAAGCAGTGCTATTGTCAGCCACATTTCTCATTGTAAATTTATTCGTTTAAGTAATCGTATTACTGATTCTAACATACGTACATATTTCTATTTTGCAGGACATGTTGCATTTCGGTTATTAAGAAACTGCAATAAATTACCAATTGAACTTAGCCAGTACAGAAAACATTGCTTCAAACTGATGGGCTTTAAGAAAGCTACAACTTATACTCAACGCGCACATAAATGATACTTTTCTATTTTTTATTGTTACTACTAACAAAGTACTTAAAAGACCTGTCTACTCACAAACTACACCAAATGAGCTCGAGCATTAGACTATGTACAAACTCTTTTTGATTTGCAAGTACAATATATGTATTTATATTTAACAAGACAAAAGATATAATATTTATTTCGCAACTATTTTCTAACATTTACACTATGCTACTTGTAGCAACCTCTAGACCAACGTAAGATTTGCAATAAAGTTTCAATATTAAAATTCATAATTTTGTTTAGAATGTGGTTTTTATTGTTTTTTTTAACAGCAATAACTATTTGTATATTGAATATGTAAGTATAATAGACCAGCTGTCGGATACCTTTTACTTTTTGGGCGTACTTATGTTAAAATGCGAGTTAAGTTTTCACTTTGTAACGAATTGTAAAGAGTGTAAATTAAGTTCACAAGTTTATGAACACCCTTTTATTGTGTAAATTATTTAAGGCTGGCAGCACTGTCTTCCAAGTAAACCACAATTTGTTAATAAATCATCAGCATTTTTAGATGTTTAGTGTATAGAATCAATATATATTTATGTTTAAAACATTGAAAATTAATATTTAATAAACTATAGCTACGGTTATTAATAAAAGGGAACGTTCAGGCCTACAGGTAGTTCATAAAACGTTTTTAAGAGTATTCCAAACTTTATAACGATGACGTATTTTCAAATACCATATATGTAGGTACATACTAAAGCATAATATACACTTGTGCCTCATTAAAAAGTGGGAGGAAAAGTTTACCAGTGAAATCGTCTTCAACGGAATCTTCGTTGTATTAGAATACATAATGTCAATGCCAATGAGTAATATAGATAAAGGTGGATACGTGCCGCCAGGATTTGGAGCTGGATATCCGCCTGGAAGTGCTCCACCTAGCACATCTCAAGGGGACAGTTATAAACCAGGCGCATATGTAAGTAGTCAAACAAGATAAGCAAAGGGGCGTATTCATTCGAGGTTATTTAACCTGTAGCTGTCTAAACATCTTGTCTCGTAGAAAGCCCTATATTTAATTTCATTTATTTTATGCATTGAAAGGATAGACTTATGCGTTATTATTTACGTATGTATTTGTTTTAACTAAAAGTTTGAACTAACGTAAAAAAGTAGATATTGAATGTTAAAACAGGACCGGCATATGTTGTTTACGCAATGAATAATATAATGCACTATTCATAAATGCATCAATGTTTAAAAAAAAGAAATTTTGTATTTCTCGTAACCACGTATGAATCACTATACGCAGAACAACAAAAAAAAAACTACATACCTATAGTATGCAATTTGATAAGCAACTGCATTAGTGCATGCACCTAGATACATACATATGTACATACATACGTTTGTATTTCAATACATTTAACAAAATCATTTGGCTATTTTTTTAAAACAAGATTTTCTAAGTGCAAAAAAGTTAACCATAGTCATATCGCCTATATCATCTTTCTTAATTATAATTTTTTTTTCATTTTAGCAAGCAGAATTAAAAATTATGGCGTATATGGATATAGTTTCTATTTTTCTTTATTATTTATTTAATTTGAATTTGTATTTATCATTTTAGTTTTCTGGACAAAAAAAAAATCATTATTTTATAAATTTACTTTTTTGATTAGATTAATTTTACTTTTCTCTTAAGCATTTAATTTTTTAATTTTTGTTTTTATTTTTAACAAACTACACAACAAGATAGATAGAGAAGTCAAAAAGTTTGTTTGAATATTAGTACATAGTACTACTATGTAAGATGACAATAAGAATCATTGCTCAGTAAAAATATGTATATTCAACCCTAATGTATTGCACATAAGCAATCCATATACAAAACAGATACAACAGATTTTTTAAATAGTTTTTTATCTTTACTGTCGTTTGTATTTACTGTGTAGATTAAAACTCATAAAATTGCGATAATTTTTGATGAGCCCCTTCAGAAATTGCGAAATAACAAGATGTTTAACCATTTTATTTAACCGTTATAAACAGAAACTTTCTATCTATGAATAATTTATTTTTTACTTTTATTTTGTATTGTTATGTGATAAGGGTTTCGTGCCAGGACAACCGCAAGCGGGTTATGCACCAGTGCCACAAATGCCCCCATATGGTGAGGCCCCACCAAATTATGGTGGTCAACAGCTGCCCTATGGTGGTCAACAGCCACCTTATGGTGGTCAACAGCCGCCTTATGGTGGTCAACAGCCACCTTATGGTGGTCAACAGCCACCTTATGGTGGTCAACAGCCACCTTATGGTGGTCAACAGCCACCTTATGGTGGTCAACAGCCACCCTATGGCGGCCAACAACCTCCATATGGCGGTATGTCTCAGCCTCAGTCAAATGGCGGCGGTGGTTTTCAGCCTGCTCCTGGATATGCTCCACAAGGTCCAATTGTTACGCAGCCGGGAATGCCGCCACCAGCGCAACCAATGGGTCCACCAGGACAGCCCATGGGACCAGCAGGTGAGTTTATAACTATAAAGATTTATAACAAATCGTTTTAAACATGAAGAAAAAACAACCTTTTATTTTTCTTTTTTTTATTTATAATGAATCATTTAAGTAGCGCTTAGTTTTGCGTATGAAGTATATAATATATAAAGTTCTCGAATAAAGCCTTTAACGATAATTATTGACTGCGAAATCTCTCCAGGAAAATCAATGTAAAAAATTCGAATCACCGTTTAACCCCACGAGACTATGAGCGGAGGGATGATTAATCCCGTGACTGGGCTTTTGCTCGGCCTTCTCAAGCATTAAGGCTTATAGAGATTTTAGAATCACTTTGTGTTCAATAATGAGCGGGATTCGGGTCATACATGTGTTATAGCGATTCCTATTGTATGTATGTATGTATGTTCATATGTGTTTGTTTATAAATGCATTCAAGCCAATTTCTAAATACAATATGTAATCAACACACTTAATGTTCAATACCCTCTGATGCAGGCTATACGTTTTTCATTATTTCTGATCTTTGAATTCTTTATTATTGAAAGCATTCACTTGTTCCTTCTTGTGATAAGACCAAGCTACAAATATGCGATAGTCTCGCCTTGCTCTTGCATGTGTACATACATATGTATGTATATAGTTAGTCAATGACCTGGTATTTGTCTGCATTAAACGAATACTCGAAATAAGACAAATCAACAGAGGGTTGCTGTACTTTTCCTGTAAATTCTGGGTTAATTTTTGATGTAAGTTTGTATGTTATTCCTTCAAAAAAAAAAACACATACACATGCACATGCTAACGAAGCGGATCATTGGCCCACTTTGGAAAATAAAAATAATGCAAAGCTGATTCAAAATAAATATGCATTGATCGATCCTCCACATACATACAAAAACACATATATAAAACTATAAAAATTATTGTGAGTGTTAATGTTTATGATCTGTTAAAATTAGTTACTGTTACAAGATAGATTGTTATTTTTACAAATCATTATTTAGTTTGTCAACCGTCTTTCAACGCCATATCCTACAAATACACACACATATACATATGTACATTTATACATTGAATAACAAAGCCATAGTATGAATTACGTTTACGCTTCGCGCTGTAAATTCTGCCATACCTTCACATCTTATCACTGAGTTCTTTAATTGAGCAAATTAAGTGATAAACGCGCGTGCAGTCTATATACAGTTATAAGCGATGATGATGATTTTTAAGTCTTCGTCGCCATGAAATTTCTCCGCACACATTTAGTATGACAACAACGGTCCAGCTGGACAATACATTTGTGTTAAAAAAAAATTAATTAATATTTGAAATTTTTCGAATTTTCCATTCAATTCGTGAATTTGTACGTACGCATGTAAGCACCGAATAAATCAAGTGCAATCATCAATACAGTATCAAAAGCAAACGCTTGTCGAACAGAATGTGTGAATCTCGAACCACTAGAAATCTATTTGCCTCAACAGTTGAATTGCATGGTTCAAAAAAAGCTTCAAATAAGGCACACAGCGAAAGTGCCTCAAACAGTAACGGTCTTGTGGATGTGGGCGCAAATGTGCTGCGCATTGTTTGGCACAATTTATATGAGAAATACGATTATTTGCGCCGACGTGGTAATAGTTTAAAAGTTATCGTTCAACGTGAGTCGAATAATCCGTTGGCGAAGAAATTTCGACGCTCACTACGCTTAAATAAATCGGCGAAAAAGAAGGGTTATGAGTATTTTCTGAGCGATGAGGATAAGAGGTGAGTGGTAGGTAGTGTGTGTGTGTGTGTAAAATGAACTTGAGTTTGGCACGCTGCATATATTGCATGTGCAAACTTTTGTTAAATTTAAATATTAAATATACTATTTTTTATAATTTTTGAAGGCGCTTAATTAGTTATATTTTAAAAAATATAAACACATATCGTAATCTTTATAAATAATAAAAGGGTTTAAGGAATTTCCTTTGTGTATTTTTCTGATTACAAACGATATCTAAAACCACTATCTTTGAAATGCTTTGTGATAAGATGATTTTTAGAACAAAAGCAGTTTGTTTTTAAATAGTAGCGTGAGCACAAACACCTATAAAGAGCCATAAATATCAACACTTAGACCTGCAAGCACCCATGCAATGTCATTTGTTGTCCGTAATGGAGTATAGTACATATTTATGCGCATATTTATATATGTAAAAGACCTTAACCCGTTAAATAAAATTTGTATTTAACTTCAGTTGATTAAAAAGAGTTGAGTTTGGGTTACAAAATGTCAATAAATCTTTATCCACCGACAGTTTGTTAACACCTTTGGAATTTCCGACACTTTATTATCCTGAGTTAGTCTAAACTTGATGTATTCAGACGAATAGTTTAAAAAAAAAATTAAAAAATTAAAAATAGTATAATAAGATAGAAACTTTAACGCATAAATTGAAAATAAATTGAAAATAAAATAAAATAAAATGAAATAAAATAAAATGTAATAAAATAAAATGTAATAAAATAAAATGTAATAAAATAAAATAAAATAAAATAAAATAAAATAAAATAAAATAAAATAAAATAAAATAAGATGAATTAAAAACAAAAATAAAAAAGTGATAAAACTAAAATGAAAATGAAACAAAACAAAGTAAAATCAAATCAAATTAAAAAAAATAACAATATAAAATAAAATGAAATTGAATTGAATATAAAAAAAATATTATAAAATATAATAAAAATATATAATAAAATATATAAAATTGTATTAAATAAACTAAAATGAATAAAAAAAAAAAAAAAAAATAGAAAAGAATAAGTGAAAAATTAAAAAAAAACACTGAAATGAGGTTAAATTATGTAAATTAAAAACCAAAATTAAATTAAAAACTAAAATTAAATTAAAAATTAAATTAACTGACTAAATTATAAATTAAAAATTAATTTTAAAACTAGCTACTTATTCTACTAATATTTTTGTAATAAATAATAATATGCCCTTAATAGTTATAGTATGTATGACATGTGTTTTTTTCAATAATATAATTTATTTTATTTTCGGTTAATCAAAAATTAATATAGTAGAATTTTTTGATTCTTGGCTTTTAACTTTTCCCAAGTTTACCAAAAATATTACCAGGAGGGCGTTGAAGTACATACGATATAACTTGTAAATCATCGTTTGAAGGTACTTAAGACTGTAGAAATCTTGAGGAAGATAACACATAATGTCTTTTGCAGTTTTTTTTTCTACAAATTTAGGCTGATATTCGAATATTTATGTTTGTATTAATGCAAATTTTGGTTATATACACGTATATAACATATCCACTACTATATATGCAATTCGCCTGTGCGATAGAAATTGGCGGTATGGCGTAAATGATTTATTTTGTAAAATATTAGTTAATTAAAAAAAAATCACACATTTTGTGCACCGATTGATTATTTGATTACAAAATTATTTCAAGCTCAAGAGTTTCCTTTTATTTGAGTGGTTGCGCTCTAATGTGGATATGAGATGCACCGGAAATAAGATTGTTGCTGCCTTGCTGACAAATTTCATAACATTTAGGTCAATAATGTCCAACATTTCGCAACCCATATGTATGTATGGCTGTGTCTTGGATCAACCGAAAAATGAGCTTCGATGGTATAATTTTTTAAAATTCAATATTCTCTGCATTTACAAGTGGCATGACAACTTAGAGTACACCAGAATGCAAAGCAAGGTTTCTAACGGGTTAAATGGTGAAATCTGCTAAAAGCTTTGTAAGTGATGATTGTGCAAACATTACAAAAGTAAATGTTTGTCAGTAAGTTGAGTCATTTTTAATTTTGTAACAAATGGCGAGCAGCTAACTCAATTACTGTTGACTTTGAAATCCGCCCAAGTTCTAGTTTGTTCGTGTGCCGATCCATGCAATTACTTTCATTGTACTGTACAATAGCAAGCGCTCAAGCGATCAAGAAATGTTCAATTGTTGTCATTTAATTGGTGAGTGGGTTTTAGTTCAAATGGCAAAGCATTCATTATACCCGGCTGTACTGTGTACGCAGCCCTACAGTCAGTCAGCCGGCTTAGTTTCGCTATGGTTTACTAAATACTGGGAAATATCCAAAAAGATTTCTGTTGTTGTTGTTGTTGTTGTTGTTGTAACCGCAAATTATTCTCCGAATTGGTTTTCGGTGAGTGCCTACTCTTGGGGCTCCGTCGTGCATCCTGAAAACGTAGGAAACATTTATTGTTGTTGTTGTTTTCTGCCATCCCCGCTTAGGAGCAGACTGGGAGGGCCAGGAAACGAGCTGTTTCGACAGTTTAGGACTAGAAGGGAGGGGGATTAGATGAGTTGGTTTTAGGGGCATGCAAAGAGGTGTTTATTGTCGTGCGGGAACGGATTGCAAGCAGGACATATTTTAGGTATGTCGTGGTCAATATCCAGATGTAAGTTGTGTCCCGATTATGCGTTACTCTCGTGGCAGCTCGAGCTGAAATAGATGGTGGTTTGCCTACAAGAGCGCCATTCACTGGAAGAGAGTTCAGGAAGGTGTGGTCGGTCTCTCAGTGAATTGTGTTTAATGCCTTACGGTAAGCCGTCCCGTCCAGCAGCTATTGTTGGTGGAGTGCTCCCTTTCTGAAATGCCTGGGTTGTGGTTTGGCTTCTACTAGGTGTCTGTTGGAGTATTCTCTACGGTAGCATGCCAGCAGAAATTGCTTGCTCCTTAACTCGAAACATAGAATCTTCGCTGTCCAAGTAATATCAGAAGATTTCTTTTCACGATACTGAGGGCCGATCCGACCAATTGTCTTAGTAATGTATGAATAACTATGACTTTATGGCGTACACCTGGAATATATGATTCCTTAATTGGCAATATATCTTTTGTACAGCTGGTCAATATCCCCTCGAAAAGTGAGACTAGAATCACCGCCATCCACGAAATGCTATGGAAAGAGTCATTGGTATGACTGTTGGTAACTTCAGTCTCCACGACGGAGCATACAATAATAGGCTGGGCCTATCTACTTCGCCGGAGTCCGAAATATGGTTACTGGTAATACCAGATATTATTTAAAGCGCTGAAGAGACCTTTGACCAAGATCCTCCTTAAACTTATAAGGTCAGTCTTTATGTTTTTCCGCCACCGAACGGCTGATGGTTTTTTATGTGGAGCTTTCTTCAGCTAGACATATTTTTTGGCAGAAAAAAGGGAGAGACGGAAATACTTGAGTATAAGAATTTAAGCAGATAAGCAACTGGAGAAATGCTTAAAATTTCGACGAATAACTGAGGCAACTTTCCGACAGTTTTAAAACCTAACCAATTTTTCGCAGAAACGAGAAAGTGCATCAGTTAAGGGTCTGCTGGTAAGTAGCTTGTTTCATATGGGGCATGCCTTTACGACTGGAGAAAGTGGAGGTATCGGACCGAGTAGCTCCAACATCCTTCAGCATCTTTCAGATCCGTCAAATATTATTTTCCCCGTTAGTGTCGTATGACCTAAGCGGCAGGGTTACGGAAAATTGGAAACCGCTCCAGCTTATAAATCTTAATTCGGTTTTTCTATATTTTTTAACCTCTCAACTTACTTCTTTGTTCGAATCGTTTCATCAGAAGATTCACAATCATTTATCACATTTATTGAAGTTCGTATTTTACTTAATTTTAATCAAATTTCCATCTTCTCAAGGCGTAAAAAATAATACTCATAATTTCTTTATATTATTTTAGGCGATTGGATGAGTATACCCGCCGGCATACCGAACTGTCCGCGCGGCTTGGAGTACCTTACGATGGTCGACCAGCTTTTGGTTAAACAAAAAGTCGAATTACTCGAAGCGTTCACCGGTTTCGAGACCAACAATAAATTCTCCATTAAAAATGCACTCGGCCAAAAAGTATATTATGCGGTTGAGGACAATGATTGTTGTACGCGCAATATGTGTGGTCCGGCACGTCCTTTCGATATGAAAGTTTTCGATAATTTTCGTAATAAAGTCATCCATATGTACCGTCCATTAGCTTGCTCGGCATGCTGTTTCCCTTGTTGTTTGCAAACAATGGAAGTGTCATCGCCACCGGGCAGCGTTGTGGGTAGTATTGAACAGGAGTGGTCCATATGTGCGCCTTCATTTCGTATTAAAAATCATATTGGTGATACAGTTTTGCGTATCGAAGGACCCGTTTGTACATTCACAATGTGTGGTGATGTGGAGTTTAAGGTTAGAAGCTATTATATATGTACATATGTATATCACTTAACAATTAAAAAAAATTTTTTTTTTCTTGCATGTTAGGTGGTTTCTCTGACCGGTGAAACTGTGGGAAAGATCTCAAAACAATGGTCTGGCTTAGCACGCGAAATATTCACAGATGCGGATTTCTTTGGTATTACCTTCCCGATGGACTTGGATGTGCGTATGAAGGCGGTTTTATTGGGCGCGACTTTCCTTATCGTAAGTACTTATGTTGGAATGTATGAACACAGACGATTTTCTTTATTAATTTTTAATACGTATAGAGGTATAGCATTAAGTTTTATCGTTTGAAACTGTTAAAACGTTTTCGTCGAAGAATTTAAGGACTGAGGTAAATTATTGATCATCTTATTAGAAAAACAGCGTAGAGGCTATTGTATATCTGTGTACATATGTAGATCTATTTATCCGTTGCATCATAGTTTGCCAGTTCACCTTGTATTGAACGGTGTTTCAGTTTTTATTATGTGATAATTTAAATTTTTTTCTTTTTTTCAGGATGCCATGTTTTTCGAAAAACAAGCAAATCGTGAAACTGATCGACCAGGCATGTTCTAAACAGCCCCAAATACTTATGTATGAATTTACAATACCGAATAATAATCAATGATCAAATATTGGATTACAAAAAAATTAAAGTCCCAAATATATAAATAATTTTTTTTGATATTATCTAATTATCAAATTTATGGAAACAAAAAACTTATTCGATTATTATAAAAATACTTGCTTTTTTATAGAATTTGATGCACTAGTCCACTTGAAACCAAAGTAAAAAAAAATAAAATATTGAATTTAAAGAAAAATCGTTAGGAAGTAAAGTTGAAAAAACTATGTGTGTACATACATGTATTGAAGTTTTGTCATATGTACATATATTGAAACGCTTTTATTGCTTTCAAAGTTGTAACTCATTTGTTAACAATAATTATATGCATTTTATGTTGATTGTTGTACCAAACTAAGCTTTATTTTGGTAAAAATGTTTAATGTATATATGTAAGTACACATTTATGTATATAACTGTAAAAAGTGTAGTTAGCAATGATTCGCTTGAATTTAATAATTTTTTTTTATATTTTTATTTTATTTTTTATAGTAGTTTTAAGCTGTTCACTTTAATCGAATACGTGTTGCCTTATCGCCATATATATATATACTATGAATACTAAATATATGTACATATATATGTATGTATGTGTATGAATTTTGTAATAAGCCTTTTTGAAAAAAAAAAATTATTAAAATAAATTTCATCTCTATTAATTAACAAAACTGCTTGCATTTAGTTGACGTAAAATTATTTATTATAAGGTAAACTTACGACGTGTGGGGTGGGATAGGCACTGAGAAATGAAGACTTAAGCGAGGCAGACAAAACCAGAAAAGGGATCCTATTGCATGAGTATGAGCAGGTTGAGCAGCTGGTCAAAATAATAATAAGTAATACCTGAAAACGCTATGAAAATATGCGGCGACTCAAAGAAGGTTTCAAAATCGAAGCATACTCATGTAGAAACCAAGATTACCATCATCTGGTGACCGCTACATAATTGCTGTATTGGGGGAACATTTCTTCAGTCTGCTGTATGACAATGAGATTGGATCATCCGGAGATTGCGAAACCGCTTGAAAAACAACAAAACGTAGGGAGCAAATGGTTTGTTCGAGCTCTTAAAAACCGGCGGCGGAGAACTGACAAAGTGCATGTATCAACTCCTTTGCAAAGTATGGTCGGATGAAAGCAATGCCCGACGATTGGAACCTGAGGTACTCCACTCCAACCAATCCATACAAAGCGAAAGCCTTCGGTCTGTGCCAACTACTGTGGGATGAGCCTCCGCAATATCGCATAAAAGGTCATATCCATATCGAGCATGAAAGACTAAAGCCCATCGTCAATATACTGATTGGACCTTATCAGTGTGGCTTTAGACCTGGTTAATCCACCATTGACCAGATATTGCGCCAAGTATTGGAAAATACCATTGAAAAGGGGATCGACGGTGAGGTGTGTCTCTTTGTAGTTTTTTAAAACAGCCTTCGGTGGCACGAATTGGAGCTGCCTTTACGCCGCTTTGTCTGAGTTTCGTATTCCCGCAAAACTTATACGTACACCTCCGTGTGAAGCTCCGTCAGAATCAAACGGGCTTTCAGAAAAGGTGACTCTTTATACTCTTCGTGAGATTTCTTTAATCTATTGCTAAATAAAATTTTACGATCTACAGATAGAGTATCTACTATAAGACACCTATATCTACAAGTCACTCATCATTTCCGTCCTGCTGCGGAGGCATGCGTAATGACAACATTTGATAAGTTAACCTTAGGGGTTCTCGAGAAATTTGCGAAAGATTTATGATACTTTGTGTACCGGCAACGGTGAGTATCGTAGTCGATGGCAGGATGAACTGTCAAGTTATACGGCTTCATTGAGTGAGCGAATCAAGAGACAGCGGCTACACTGGCTAGATCATTTGACCCGAATGGATGAGTACAATACGGCTTTGGAAGTTTTCGATGCAGTAACCGTCGGTGGAAGCAGAGGAAGGCCTCCACTCCGTTGGAGAGGTTAGGTAGAAAGATCTGACTGTACCTCGTATTTCAAATTGGTGCGAGAAGAAGAAGGGTGTAGTGGACTTAAGATAATTTTTTTAACGGTTTTCTTTTTGCGCTTTATTTCTTGGAACAATTTCTTCGACTAAACGCTCACAAATGCTACTTGAATATCTTTCTTGAAACTAATAATTTATTAGGCAGTCAACTGTTGATTATAACGTAGTCCTTCGGTAGGGAATGTCAACCCCTCCGAGTGTATTTCTGGCCTGAAATACAGCTTCTCATAAAAAAAACATCAGTCGTTCGGAGGCGGCTTAGTATAAACTGTAGGTCCCTCCATTTGTTAAAAAAACATCAAGACGCAAAACCACAAATCAGAGGAGGAGCTCGGCCAAAAACCGCTTCAGCCAATTATATATATACATGACCTTCCGCTGCGACTTTGCTTGGCTCAACGGGTTGAAGATCGCTTCACAGAAAATGAGCATTCTCATCGAAAAGTAATATTTTTTATTGAAACTCATTTTCACCTCGGCGGCTACGTTCATAAGTAAAACTGTCGCGTTGGTACTCAGAGTACCAACACATTGTCATCAAAAAGCCAATGCATCCTCAACGGCTGACTTTTTGACGCGGTATGCGGATCAGATTTGGGCGGCAGTTCGTTAATGTTTCGTTACCGTACCAAACTCAGATATTCTTTGTTTCCAAATGATGAAGTAAATCATTTATGATATGGATAATGTGTGTTTTGAACAGCTCAGAGCTACGTGCCACAGAGCCAATATTAGAAACGATCTCTGCGGGTAGTGTTCAAAAATCGCTTGTCCGCTACGATTTGACTCCGTTGGACTATTTTTTATTTTTGTACAGTGCCGTTAAGGAAAAGTTCTATGGCAAATTATCCAGAGGTAATTCATGAACTCGAAATTGAAGACGCCATGGCAGCCATAGAGGCTCATCCGAGGTGTGACAATTAAGTAATGGGACTGATTTCATAAAAACCGTATATATCAAAATTATTTTACAACTCTGCCATCACCTTCAAAATAATCCCCTTGGGCAGCCCGATTTGGCGCAAATTTTATAGCGACGCGTTGATCTTGGCGAACTAAACAAGCTAGAACGATGGCAAATATATCAATGGAGAGGAGAAGGATGCCGAGAGAAGGGAAAAGGAATTTCGAGATGGTAGGGTTACCACAATCGCGGAAATATAATCAGTATCATTACTTTATTGTCACACCTCGTGGCTCGACAGACAGAACGGAATGGGCTAGTATGAGGCTAGCCTGAAATGTGATCCGAATGACCGATGACTGCAATACGTCTTTGGAAGTATTCGGTGTAGTACCCGCCGGTGGAAGCAGTGGAAGGAGAAGACATCTACACCGTTTGGAAAGATCAGGTGAAAAAAGAACTGGCTGCACTCATTATTTCCAATTGACGTTGTTAACTCGGCTATAATAGCTTATACGGTGTCTACGTCTATAAAGAAAAAAAAGATTTCCAAAATTTTAAGTTTATCACTTGAACTGCATAATGCCGTCATTAAAAATACCAACTACAATATATAATATCTGCATATTTGTTTATATTATTAACGCTAATAACAATACACATGTATATATATATGTAAGTATTATATGAACATATTAGTTCTCTTAAAAGGAAATATGAAATATAAAACAGAAATAGTATAAAGCAAACCGTCAAAAAGCACGTTGTGGCCGCAAAATACTCTCCTGCACACGCCGGAGCTAACGTCATCATTACCGTAGACGCCAAAAGCGCTAAGCCAATCAGAGACGCTAATTGAAATTACCAACACTGCATGCAGCGCTTCAGTCGTAACAATGAGCAGTGTGTACTCGTATTTTTTTCAGCCGGAGAAAGCACTGCGCGCTCTGGCGAGTCTCTGGTGTGACTATAGTTTATGTACGGCGTTTAGTATATGTAGATAGGTAAGTGACTTGCAAAGCTACGCTGCCGCCTCGTTACGGAAATGACATTCATGGCAAGCGGTTCTGCAAAAACCTTACCAAATATCGGAAACAACTTAGCCCAACCCGTCGGTCATTGGTCAAATCCAAGTATTGAATTGATTTGCCAAAGGATTTTTTCAGTTTGCGTAAATCTCTTTTTGGCATAAATCAAATTAACTAACAAGATTGTGAAGAAATACTTGTAGTGCAACGAAACGTACATACATACTTATGTAGTATATGTACATATATGTACATTTGTTTATGATACGTGCAGTGTTGTATGTGTGATAAGTACATAAGTGTGTGCATTTCTTCTAATCAAGTACTAGGTGCATTCGAAAATCGTTTATAAAATTTATATGCATAAATGTGCTTTCTAATTACAACCGCTCACATACATACATACATATCTATATAAATAAATAAATAAAATAAAAATAAAAAAATTCAAGTCAATTGAGTGCAAGTGCAAGGGGCAACGGAAATTAAATCAATTGGCATTAGCACGCGGCTTCGAATGTGGCTGCAGTATGCTCCTGATCTCGACGATTGTCCATTACGCTGTGGCGCTTTACAAAATCTTCAAGAAATTCATGTGAGTTCAGCAAAAAAAAATTAAAAAAAAATAAATTAAAAAAAATGATTGTATTTAAGTGTGCATCGCCTTTTGCCTCTTGGTAAGTTTACAGCTTTCATCGTGTGGTTTTTGTCTTACCGACGGTCACCGCTCTGTTGTCAGTCATTATTCGTCCTCATTTGCATATTACCTAATTTCATGAAGACTTCGGTGTTTGTTTCGGTAGAAAGTTTTGTCTGTTAGTGCGGCCGCACTTACCCACAAACGATGTAATTGAGCATATATACATACAGACGTTCATATAAATGAGGGAATATCGACAAAACAATGTAGGTAGACTGTAGTGCGATTTGTTTGAATATTAGGGTGTTTCTAAATTACGTAATTTAAACTATTTTCCAAGGGTAAGTTTGTGAGATTAATCTCATACGAGTATATGCATATAAAAGGGAATGTATGTGTGTATACATTTTCCATTAACTCCGAAATTTTATGGTAAATTCATTGCAACCCGAAGAGTGTTCCAGAGATTTAGATTATTTTGGAAAGAGTTTCTCTTGTCAGAAAAATTATCTTCCGAAAAAAATATTATTTATTGTTGGATTCACTAGAAATTCGGTACACAGCTACCCTCATTGCCTAAATTAAGATAAAACTCACTTTTTCTTCCCGTATGTGAGCCTGCGATCTATTCTCAAAGGGGATAGGGCTACTTGAAATTCGGTATTAAAAAATTAACTGTTTTGTGGACCAGGGACTTAAATTTGAAATTGATATTTAGCACTTGGAAACAATCTATTCAAAAACTTTATGGTTTAATTTACTTGAAATAATAATCTCAGGTTAGGTTAGGTTGAACTGGCTGCCCATTGCGTCTCACATTGACTATAACTCAAGTGCTGCACTGCTACACTCCTATTGTGTGTATAGTGTCAAAAACTTTGCTGTTATTTTCGCTAAAGGCCATTACCGATTGAAGATTCCTTAGATTTTCTTCGCCAAGTAGCTTGTTTATCAGCTATCTCGTAACCTTCAGTGCCCGTAAGGCTTTGCACCAATCAAATGTAAAATTTTCTGTTTTCA